CTGTCTGCTCCTTCCTTTTCACTCTTTAGTCTCTGATCCACTCGCTGCACCCCTCAGCCCAGTGCTGACTTCTTCAGCTTCTGTGAGCAATGCATCCACCGTCAATTAGACCCAACTTCATTATTTTGTCGGTAGAACAAACTCGGAGAGTCTATCAAACAACTTCTAAGTGGCATCCCGTTTGTGCCCAGCGGGATGTGCAGAGGGCAGGGATGCCTTTCATTTTCCCTACCGTTGCTTCCTCATTCCCTGACAGCATTCACCTGTCAACAGGAGAGCCAGGGAGGAACACTTCCGTGAGGGCCAGAAAGACGCCCCCAGGAGGGACTATCTCCAGGGATCTGCCTCCTGGGTGCTCCTTTTATGGACTGTCTCCGGGGTCTGCCCCCTGGGTGCCCCTTTTACTGGACTGTCGCTGGGGGTCTGTCCCCTGGGTGCCCCTTTTACTTTCATTGTAACTTTTGTGGATGTGCCAATAAACCTGTAAGTCTCCATGTCCTGGTGTGGGCGGGTGGGCAGCTGCCCCTCTGGGCACAAAAGGACAGGGCAGCTGTCCTGCTCTGCTGGCTTTGCTCTTATCCCTCCCTCGCCCTGCAGTGACGTCAGCGTCACTTAGCACCCCACTGTTTTGTTTGCTGAGGTTTGGACCTTGCTTGTGCTCTTTGATCTACCACAAAGGACTGAATTCCCGGTGTCTGTCTCTCTGTGTGACCAGTTTCACCCAGACCGGTCCCAACAGTCCCAGGCCCCACCCGGATGCCATCAGAGGCATCCATCAGAGGTCCAGCTCTGGCCGCAGGGACGGTTGGGACTGCTGACGGGCCTGTACTTAGGCCCTCTGGCTCCCTAAGCCCCTGATTCTCTGATTGGGGGCCTTGGCTCCTCCAGGAAGCGGACGTTGGCTTACCCCATCTCCCTCATCTTCATTCATCTCCAGTGACTTCTGGTGCCAGCTCCTGGGGAAGCTGGGGACCCATCCCTGGGTGTCCGGCTTGGCTCTCGGGCTATTCTAGGCCACGAACCGTCATCCCAGGCCTTCCCCTCTGCCTCTGGGCCCATGTCTGGAGGCTGTTCTTGCCCCCCAGACCCTCAGACACCAAGATCCCTTTTTCCAACTACGAATCTGTGTCCCCCCCGAGAGAGGCTGTCATTTTAGTCCATAGGGATGCAGAAAGCAGAGGAGAGCACAGCTATTGGGGGGACTCCACCCACGCCTCAGGACAAATGTGCACAGGGCGTTCCTCAAGGCACTGGGCACCATGATCTCCAGCATCCCTCTGCCCACATGCCCACAGGAGCCTAGCCCGCCTTGGGGCTGTGTTTCGGGATGTTACTTTGGGGCCTCACCTTTGGACCAGGATACCTGCATAGAGGGCACACATGGGCTCAGACACTGCAGAATCCCTTTTCCTCTAGCACCAAGGCAGGAGTGAGGAGGATGAGCTAACCGATAGGCCGCAGAGATGCTGGCCACAGGGATCTATGAATCCAGCAGAGGCACGTGTGCTCACAAACACACACACACACACACACACACACACACACACACACACAATGAGGACGTGCTCTCACACAGCCAAGATGCCATACAAACTTATTCCTGCCCGTTACCTTGGACCCACCCCTTTTTTTTTTTAAATTTTTATTTGTTGTTACTGTGTTTGGCATATCGAATACATCATGGGTGGCTTGCCAGGCTCTGCCGTGTGGGCGAGATACTCTCGGTAGCTTGCCGGGCTCTCCGAGAGGGGCGGAGGAATTGAACTCGGGTCGGCCCTGTTGGCTGCGTGCCAGGCAAACGCCCTACCGCTTTGCTATCGCTCCTATTAGTGAAACACCATGAGGTACAGTTGTAGACTTACAAATTTTTGTGCTTGGGTTTCAGTTACACAATGATCGAGTACCCATCCCTCCACCAGTGCCCATTCTCCACCACCACGAATCCCAGTATCCCTCCCACCCCCCATTTCCCCCATCCCACCCTGCCTCTGTGGCAGGGCGTTCCCTTTTGTTCTCTCTCTCCTTTTGGGTACTGTGGCACACCCACCTCTTCAGGGACACCAGCTCAGCTCTCTGCCCTGTGCTACATAACCCCGCACCCCCCACTCTGCCATTTCCCTTAGTGCCACTTCCCCCGGGCATCTTTCTGTGGGTGGGTATCTCAAGTCTGTCAACCTGGGGCTGGAGCGATAGTACAGCGGGTAGGGCGTTTGCCTGGCACGCAGTCGACCCGGGTTCGATTCCCACCATAGGGTCCCCCGAGCACCACCAGGAGTAATTCCTGAGTGCAGAGCCAGGAGAACCCCCTGTGCATCGCCGAGTGTGACCCAAAAAGAAAAAAAAAAGTCTGTCATCCTCACTAGAGGCAAGGGAGCAATGGTCGGATCATCCTAACCTGACATAAAACCATGGACTCAGTGAGGGGCTGGTGGATTGACCCCTAGAATCTGCTGGGGGCAGGAGTTCACTTGGGTTCATTCAAATGAGGAGGAACTGAGAGAGTCTGGGAATAAGACTAGAATTTCCCGGCAGACCATAGATAACCTAGAACGCCAGGCCGACGACCCAGCCCAGAGGAAATGGTCTTGTGTGTGTGTGTGTGCGTGTGCACGCATGCGCGTGTTATGTTGTGTGTGTTGGGGGGGGGGTTGGGGAAGGGAGGGAATGACACACACACACTTGAGGAGATTTTCTGCTAGAAGAAGCAGTCGTGTGTGTGTGTGTGTGTGTGTGTGTGTATTAGGGAGGTTGGGGAGGGGAGAGAATCACACACACACACACACACACACACACACACACACACACACACTTGAGGAGACTTTATGCCAGAAAGAGCTCAGGCACCCAAGAGGAGGAAGACCAGCCGCCGTGGCCAGAGCCCGCGAGAACACGGCTGATGTCAGTTGCTGGGGGCTGGGCCAGGCCCTGCTCTGACAACACTCAGAAACGGCCCCGTGGTCCCGGGCTTCCTGGTCCACTGAGAGAGTCATTTACCAGAAAGATGGGGAGCGGCAGGGGAAAGGAACGCCCTCCCTGACTCAGCCCGGCCTGGGATTGGCAGCTCTCATCCCCACCCCACCCCCCACTTTCTTCAGCACTTTCTCTTCCTCTCCAGCATGATACGGCACCTGCGTGGCCGTCTGGGCCCGGGCCCGTCGGCCTCACACTGGCTCCTCTGTGGCCTCCTCTCCCGCCCTCACCCCAGCGACAGCTGCTTCCACCCTTTGTGCTCAGACAGGTGCATCTGGAAGCTTCCGTTTCGCTTCCACTCACGGCTGGTTGGTTGAGAAACGCAGTGTGGGTCGGCCCTGCCGGGAAGGTTGCCTGCCCGATGTGGTTGATTCTGACGTCATGTTTTGGCCGTTGGGTGTTTTGAAACCGTCTGTCCCCAGATTGCTCCTGAACCCCACATACAGTTCCGTGACCCCCTGGTTTTTTGAGAAGCTGCATTTCTGCAGCTCTTGTCTGCGTCTCTTGAGTCCTTCAGCCCAGAAGACCATGCCACGGTCCCTCCTAGCCAACTCCGGTGCACTTCTTCAGCATGACGCTTAAACTGATATCCCCCTTACCGAAACACCCAACTGCCTTGCATGTCTGTGCATGCGTGTACCGACACATGTCAGTTGCATGCACACACATGTATACAAGCATGTGCATTATTTTCTGCGTCTTGTTCCTTTACCCGTGAATAGTTTTAGGTGGTGGGTCTGAGCGATAATAGCAGTAGGGCGCTTGCTTGGCTTGTCACCAACCCGGATTCGATCCCCGGCACACTGCATTGGGTCCCCCGAGCACCCACCCAGAGTCATTCTCGAGTGCAGAGCCAGGAGTGACCCCTGAGCATTGCCAGGTGTGGCCTCCGAAACAAACAAAAAGTTTAGGGTGGCTTTTTCTTAGGACAGCTTCCTGGCTAAGCACCTTCATAATTAGGAAGTGGGACGTGACTTTTAGTGGTGAATTGTGCGGGTTGGGTTTTCCGTGCATTCAAGGGCCAGTCAACTGAAAGACGCAGTGACAGGTCATGAGGGAGCTGGACCAGCAACAAGCCGGCAGGTTGGAAGATGGGGAACTCTTGCCCTCAAAGCCTCCATCGTGGCTACTTGGCTCTGGGGAAGGAGATTTTATAGTGCAGGAGCTCGGGAAGGCATATTTTTCGGATACATGGGTTTCAGCCTAATGGGCAGCAGAGCTCTCAGTAAATTCCCCTTTGCGAAAGATGAGGAGGAATTTGGGATCACCCCCAGCAGTGCTCATAGCTTATTTCCAGTACTTAGGGGTCACTCTTGACAGGCTCAGGGGGCCTGTGGGATACCGGGAATTGAGCCTGGGATGGCTGGTACGCAGGGCAAGCACCCTCCCCACTGTGCTGTGTCTCTTGGGTGCTAGTTCTCGGGAGTGTACTCCCATATTGCCTGCAAACCAAGCCAAGGGGTTCTGGGTAGGGCTTCCGTGTCCCATGGGACTCTGGGGGAAAGGACCAGACAGGGGTCACTGTCCCTGCCCAGAGGAGCTTGCTGGGGGTTAATTTTGTTTTTGTTTTTGTTTATTTTTTTTTTAACTTTTAAACGAATCACCCTGAGGTACAGTTACAGACTTAGAAACTTTCGCGTTTGCGTTTTAGTCATACAATGCTCGAGTACCCATCCCTCCACCAGCGCCCATTCTCCACCACCAATGATCCCACCACCCCGCCTCTGTGGCAGGGCATTCCCTTGGGTCTGTCTTTTCCCTTTTGGGTGTTGTGGTTTGCAATAGAGATAGTAAATGGCCATCATTCTGTCTATAGTCTGCTTTCAGCACGCATCTCCCATCCCAACCGGGCCCTCCTAGCACCCTTTACTTGGTGTTCCCTTCTCTATCTGAACTGCCTTTTCCCACTGGGGGCTAATTTTGAATTAAGGGGTATGACTGACAAACCGGCGAGCCCAGGGCCTGTGTCCGCTGACCCACACACCCCTCATTGTGGTGTCTCTGTCCCCAGAGTTTGGCCAGCGACTCCCATGGCCCTCTCTGCAGACTCATCCTGGCCTCGCTGGCGATGGCGGGCGGGAAGCGGCCTGAACCGGGCGCCATCGGACACCGCACCTCTGCTGGGCCCTCCCCGGGCTGGGCCGCGCCCCCAGCCCAAGCAGCAGCGACTCGTGTTCCCCAACAACCGGGCCTTCCAGCGGGACTGGGAGGAGGCCGCCAGGAGCTACGCCGGCAACAGGGTCTGCACGGCCAAGTACACGCTCCTCACCTTCCTGCCACAGAACCTCCTGGAGCAGTTCCACAGGTACCCGCCCGCAGTGCCCCGGGGAAGGTGCCTAATAGATGGATGGGTGTCCATCCATTAACTCAGCTGCAGGTGGCAGGTGGTGCGCTTGCTATCCGTGAGGAAGGACTGAGACAGGCAGACAGTGTGGAAGCTGGCGAGAAAGCCACCTTTAGCTTTGAATGACATGAACGAAGAAAATAAAAATTCTCATAGCTCCAAGAGCCCCTTCCAGCGAGAATGCCCCTCGCACTGCAAGAGGGAAGGGCACGGAACTCCGGCTGGCTTGGGAAGTCAGGAGACATCCCCAAGGAAGGGATGGTTGAGGTGTAACAGGAAGAAGGTAGCACCCTATGTTTCACAGTGGGTCCCGTAAGCTCCCACTTCCTAAGCTATGTAGGCATTCCAGAACCCTCTACTGTGCTCCTGCCTTGGACCTGGGGACCCTTCTACAGGACTGTGAGCAGTTCTCACCCCATTGTACGGCACAGACCCTTGGAGGCTGCCCAACTCACAAGCAGTGGGAACTGATTTGAATCTCAGATGGGGATTGTCTCTAGAACCCTTCCCTCCACTGTCCGGGCAGCGTTGCCTGGGCCTGAGGGTCAGTCTTGGGCGGCGGCGTTAGGGGGCATAAATCGGGCAGCATCGGCTTCTTGTCCGAGGTTTCCGCTCACGCCTTGCTTGACCCGTCGCAGGTGGGCCAACCTCTACTTCCTGTTCCTGGTGATCCTGAACTGGGTGCCAGCGCTGGAGGTATTCCACCGGGAGATCACCATGGTGCCGCTGGCCCTCGTCCTGTCCATCATCATGGTCAAGGACGGTCTGGAGGACTTCCGGAGACACCGCTTCGACCGAAAGATCAACTGCGCCAGCATCTGGGTGCACGAGAGGTAAGGTGAACACCTAGCGTCCCCCAGGCCCTGTTTTCTGTCCTGTGAGACAGAGACAGACAGACAAAGACACAGAGAGAGAGTGGGAGGAGAAGAGAGAGGAGAGAAAGAGAGGAAAAGGAGAAGTATGCTATAGAGGCAGATTGGGGGAAGGGCACTGGTGATGGGAAATGTACAATGGTGTCGGAACAGTGTATGACTGAAACCCAATCATGAACAACTTTGTAACTGTGACTTTTTTAAATCTCACCGTGATTTAAAAAAAAAAATTAAAAGTCCAAATAGACTTTCAGAAATGATAAACAAATGACCAACATGTAAAAAAACCAGAAAGTCTTTAAAAGGTACCTAGCGTTCAGAATTTTACCCAGACCTCTCCACAGAAATCTTGATTTGAGCAAATGTTACTTAACAGAATCAAGACTACTCATCTTTTTTTAAAAAAAAAACAACTTTGTAAGAAAGAAAATAAATTGACTGTAAAGTTTGTTAGAAAATCTAGGTCAAGATCCATAATTTCAAATTATTTAAGACAAATTAAGAACATCTCTGGAAGATCAGAACATTCAATATTTTAAAATGAATTCAAATTATATTATCATGGTTGCGGAAATAATTATGGAGAGATACACACTTTTAATTCTAGGAAAACGCTTCAAGTATCAAAATACACCTTGTTGTTACTTTGAGGGTAAATGTGGGACAAATATTTATATTTTATTTACATATATATCCTCCGTCCCTCTCGGAGAGCCCGGCAAGCTACCGAGAGTATCCCGCCCGCACAGCAGAGTCTGGCAAGCTCCCCATGGCGTATTTGATATGCCAAACATAGTAACAACAAGTCTCACAATGGAGACGTTCCTGGTGCCCGCTCGAGCAAATCAATGAACAACGGGAGGAGAGTGCTACATATATTTATTAAAATCTTGCCACATTTCTCAAACCCCTGTTCTCTCTCTCCTCACACTCCCGTTCCTGGGATTTATATCACCCCCCGCCCCGCCAACCCCCAGAGTGACCTTTGCTCTCTCACCCTGGCAACTTGGCAGTATCAGGAGGTGACACAGGGGTTTGTGTCCCAGGAAAGCGAATCACAGGGGCTGAGGTGGGTACTGCCTGGGCAGGACACTAAACATCGCCATGTCTGCTCCCCAGTGGGTGGGCATAGGGGGAGCCTCCAGCTCGCCTCGTCACCGAGACATCCAAAGTTCCATGCAGCTGGGGTGGACACCCCCCCCCCCCGCCCCTGCCTCAGCCCCTGTCCTTGTGAGGAAGTGAGCGTAGGTGGAAACATTCCAGATGGCTGGTCACCACTGCCAGGAGCTGATCTTTGGAACCAAGGAGAAGGTCATGGTGCCCCCCAGAAAGGAAGTGGGCACCATCCACACTCCCAGATCCCAACCGGGTAGGTTTTAGGACCCAGAGCTGGAGGCCTGCCCCCTGGAGAAGAGAGACACTTGTGGGTGGCGTCCGCATACCAACAGGTGGAGTCTCCCTAGCGAGGAGGAAGTAGGTGGCCCTGGCGGCAGCCAGGTGTACACCTGTTCCCTGCCAGCTCTCTCCTGTCCCTTTGCTCTCCCGGTGGCGTTTGACTCAGATTGTGCACCCGGAGAAAGAGGGAGAGCCTGGCCGCCGAGAAGGCCGTGCACGCCGGTCCCAGCGTGGCAGGCTGGCCACTCAGCTGTGCCACTGACACGGTCAGCGGACAGGGGGAGCCCGGTGGCCATGCTCTGGGGACTCGGAGGCCCCAGGCCGAGCAGAGATGAGGCAGGAAGGGAAGACAAAGCGTCAGAGACCAGAGGACAAGTCGCGGGTGGTAGTGTCCAACCTGCCCTTCGAAGGGCTGCCCCGCCGAGTGAACCCCAACGGCCACTACCGGGGGAACCGCGTGCAGACCAGCAAGTACACGCCGCTGTCCTTCCTGCCCAAGAACCTCTTCGAGCAGCTCCACCGCTTTGCCAATTTCTATTTTTTGGGGATCGTGGTGCTCAATTTCGTGCCCGTGGTCAACGCCTTCCAGCCTGAGGTGGCCACCATTCCTCTCTGCATCATCTTGGGGGTCACGGCCATCAAGGATGCTTGGGAGGACGTGCGGCGCTACCGGTCAGACAGAGTGATCAACAGCCGGGCGTGTGTGCTCTACAGCAGGTACAGAGGCGCCTGGGGCCAGGGCCAGGGCGGGGCGGGGGCATCTGTCCATCTGTCCATTGACGGACGGAGCAGAAGGTACAGAGCAAGGGGGTCACAGGACATTTTCTCAATTCTGCCAACCAGTTCCTTGTGGATTAAAGGTCTGGACCTAATTGGCAGAAGCCAAGAGAGAAGCGGGTGGCAGAGGTGGCGTTCTTCCTCTGTTTGTTTCGGATGCGGGCAACACTGGGCTCTACCCTCATCTCTCAGTCGAGATACCTCTGCCAGCCTCCTGACTTTGCACTCAGGAATTACTCCTGGTGGTGCTCAGGGAACCATATGGGATGCTGGGAATCGAACCCAGGTTGGCCGCGTGCGAGGCAAAAGCCCTCCCTGCTGTACTATCACTCCAGCCCCAAGACACCGTCTCTTAAAAGAGATCTTTATGGCCCAAACTGTCCCCTGCCCTCCTGGCTCATAACCCAAAGGAAAGGTCTGAAAAAACAACAAAACAAAAGGAATGCCCAGGTATGGACCCTGCTCACCATTGTCGGAGTATTCTTTCAAACTTACTGAAACTTGGAAGTATCTCATAGTTTCTACTTCCATTTTGATGCGAAGAACTCGGCTTTTCAGCAAACTCACTGTGGTAATTAAGTGAAGCAGAGTAGACACGAAGAGAAATGCAGGGCAATAGGGAGGCCTGGAGACTCGGGCGAAGGGGGTAGCCTATGTGTCTGTGCATCTCAAGTCACTCGCCTCCAGCTGGTCACCCCGTGGGAACAGAGGCCCTGAGTTGCCAGCCAGGTTGTGTGTGTTTTCTTCAGAAACTAGAGAATCATGGATGACTTGGAAAAAATCTGATTTCAAAGTGTTCCTGGCTGTTACAAGTTTTTCAAACAATCCAACTCTCTTACTTTTTTTTTTTTTTTTTGCTTTTTGGGTCACACCCAGCGATGCTCAGGGGTTACTCCTGGCTCTGCACTCAGGTATTACCCCTGGTGGTACTTGGGGAACCCTATGGGATGCTGGGAATCGAACCCGGGTCAACCACGTGCAAGGCAAATGCCCTACCCGCTGAGCTATTGCTCCAGCCCCAGCCCTATTTCATTTGATCTGAAGTGCTTGCACTTGTTGTGAGTCCTCCTAATTTGCAACTCTTGCTTTGTTCCTATCCTGGGGATCTGGAATCTTTCTTTGAAAGATAATCAACAGAATCTTCTTTGATTCTGAGAGAGCTGTGTCTTCTATGAGGGCTGCCTTCAGCACAGCGAGAAATGGGTAGGGAAGTCAGTCTGAGCAGGAATGAGGCCCAGGAGAAAGAAGGCCTCCATCCAGGCCAGACCTGTGACTAATTACTCAAGATCGTTAGAAAAGTCATTTAAATCTCTGGGGCCTCAGTTTCCACCTCTGTCAATGGGAGAGACACCAGATCTAGTACTTATGCGATATTCTAGGAGAGAACAGCCTGAGTTAATTAGGGAGATACAGACCTGGGGCACTTTAGATCAGCTGTTGCCCACTGTGTTGAGTGGTCCCAGTCCAGTAAGTTGCACATCGCTGCCAAGGTGTGTCATAGGCTACACTGCCTCTGCTACTGATGATTGTACAGTGATAAAGCCACCGGATGACCCGTTTCGTATAACAGATCCTGGTTGTAGTGCGTCCCCGTGCTCTTTTTAAGTGTGATAAGCATGTTGCTAACCATACACATTCTTATCACAAAGGTTCTAGAGGGTTCAAGGTCTAGTTTTGTTGAGCTTAGTTGTATCCTTTGAGATGTGTTCTCTCTCGCAAACTCAACCCAATCCATCCTTTGGAAAGAGACTTTAGAAGGAGACACAAGATTATGCCGACTTGTGTCCATGCAGACATTCAGAGACGTGCAACACTCCCACCGCTCTCAGTCAAATACTTGCCTGGCCTTTCCAGCCATCTTTTTATACCCTCAGATGATGAAATAGCTGCAGTTGCTCCGGCCCTCACACCTGCACATACTAAACCACGAAGGGAGAGAGAAAGGTCCTCTTGCGCAGGAGATGGGATTTTGCTAAGTAGCTTTAACACAGAACCTCAGACCAGCTTGATGTCAGCTTCCTGGAGGACAAAAAAAACCCAAATTAAAAATAATAACAATAAAAGATAGAAATAGGCAGAAGATATATAGGAGAGGTCACCTCTAGGTCCCCAGTGCTATCGCTGGAAAGAGAGCCTAGTTGCTTTGTGAGTTGTTTTGCACTTAGGAACTGTAGCACTGTAACACTGTCCTCCCATTGTTCATCGATTTGCTCGAGCAGGCCCAGTAACGTCTCCATCATGAGACTTGTTGTTAATTTGCAATGCTGAGTATCAAACTGGGGTCTACTACATGCAAGCCTCTCTCCTCAACTCTTGTACTGTCTCTCTGGCCCCTAGTCATGCTCTTATCAATGTTCTGTGCAATATTCTTCCTTTATTCCTGGTTTCAGGTATCTGCAGTTAACGCTGTCTGAAAATACTACATAAAATAAAATGTTTAGTGGGTGGTATATTTTGTTAATCTTTTTTTTTTTTTTACTGTTTGTGGGCTGGAGTGATAGTACAGCAGGTAGGGCATTTGCCTTGCATAAAAGGCCTACGCGGCCAACCCAAGTTCCATTCCTCCACCCCTCTTGGAGAGCCCAGCAAACTACCAAGAGTATCTCACCTGCACAGCAAAGCCTGGCAAGCTACCCGTGACAAATTCGATATGCACTTAGGAACAGTGTGTCATATTTAGCCTAACAGTCTGTCCAGCTCTGAAGCGGGCTGAGGCTCTGAGAGACCTGAAAGTGGACAGCCAGGCAATGTGACACCTTTACTGGGGGTGTGGGTGGGCAGGAGAGGGGTGCAGTGCAGGCCCTTGCCTCTTGCCAAACGCCAGGGGATGCAGGACAGGACATCATACACAAAACCCAAGACTGAAGAGCCCATTTTCTAAATTTGTTTTTTTTCCTGAGAGGCAATATAAAAGCTGTGTATCTCAGGTACTAATTCTGTCCGTTTTGTCTCGGATTCATACATCTGAGTCCCCGGTGTCCTTTTTTAATTCCCCCTCCCTCCCCACCACCACCACCATCGCCTCTTGTGTAATGGAGCACAGGGGCCTCTTGAGTTTTTGCCCCACCTAATTGCACACATTATCCAGCCCGGACTTGTTTGTACAGCGCGAGAGTCTTTTTTGCAAACAGCAGAAGCCTTGTTAACGGAATTACAATCCTGTTAGAGCATTTTCTTTTAATACAGTCACTGTGCTCGCGGTCTAAAGGTGACCCATTAATCAGATTTATGGAACGACTTCAAGGAGAGAATTAGCTTCCGAATAGTCTTAGCTGACTTTCTCCCCGGGCTCAGTTTAATGAATCCCGAAACCAGACCCAGCAAGAGATTTGTCGTTTTCCACCGGGCTCGGGTCAATTTTCATTTGTAGTCAGAAAGCACTTGCGTGGGGGGTGGGGGTGGGGGTTGCAAGTGGGAGAACGCACCGGGAGATTCAGGAAGGGGTTTGTACTGGGCCTCGTCATCACAGTGAGCAAAAGGCCTGAGTGTTTCTGCAGAGAGGCAGGTACTGGCTTTGCCCATCATGGTTCGTTGAGCAGACAGTGACTCGGAACCCCCGGGGTGTGCGGCCCTGCAGGGACTGTGGTGTGTGTCCACCCTGGCACCCTGTGTTCTCTCAGTGAGAGCCTGCGGGCACGTTCGTGCCACAGAGTCATGACTCTATGCCAAGGGCAGCCATCGGGGAAGACACAGAGTCCTGGGGGCCATATCAGTATCACTGCACACTGGCAGTGAGCTGGCCACACTGCGGGGGCCTCAGAGAGAAAGATCGGAGATGGAGATGAGCGGCTCCAAGCCCACATCGCACATTTCCCTGCCCCGGCTCAGCAAGGCCAGGCGCTACACCAGCATCCACAGGACCCCAGACCACAGATGAGCAGCAGCACTCATGGCCTGGTTCCCCACCCAGCCGCCAGCCCCAGTCCCATGCTGAGGGAGCCCCCTGGAGCCCCTGGGCTTCGGCTCCTCACAGAGCCACCACCCTGGGAAACCTGTGAGTGAGGGGAACTGAATCTCCGGTGAGGACTGGCACCACCCCACTGATGTCGTCTTGTAAACGGCGTGCATGTCACAACATGAAAGAGAACATGGTGGCGCCGTGAACAGCACTGCCGAACCTGTGAAGGATTAAGAAGGAAGCCCGTTGGCCAGCCCAGTCCCAAGCCCGCAGGCTGTTCTCTGCTCCACTGAAGCCAGTGTTCTGGAACCAGCATCTTGGGTGGAGCGAGAGAGGATGGGCTTATCCCCACCTTGCTCTCTGGGATTTAACTGAGGCTGCTGGCAGGAGGAAGTGGGCAGGAGACTGTGGGCGTGGGTCGGCCTCAGGAGTCTTTTCAGAGGGGGCTTGGAGCTGCCTCTTACCTCCCCCTGCCCTCCCGGACCAGGGCCCAGTACCCCATTGCAAAGGCAGAACTTGGTGACGTATTTTATTTTATTTTATTTTTGGGTCACACCGGGCAATACACAGGGGTTACTCCTGGCTCTCCACTCAGGAATTACCCCTGGTGGTTCTCCGGACTATATGGGATGCTGGGAATCGAACCCGGGTTGGCCACATACAAGCCAAATGCCCTACCCACTGTACTATCGCTCCAGCCCTGGTGACGTCTTTTAAAACTTTAAAAGGTGACTACATTTTAAAGAGACTATTTCAAAAGGTGATGTTTTAGGGGGTAGGGAAGGAAGCGTTCAGGAGTTAACTTTTGGAGTCTGTGTTTGGGGATCACATTTAGGGGTACTTTGGGGATCATATGGAGTGTCAGGGATCAAACCAGGATTATGTGTGCAAGGCAAGCACCATACTAGCCAGCTCTTCTCTCTCCCTCTCCCTCTCCCTCTCCCTCTCCCTCTTTCTCTTCCTTCCAGCTTTTGTCACTGTGCTTCGTGGCTCCATAGTTCTGTGGTTCTGTGACTCTGTGACTCTGTGGCTCTGTAGTTCTGTGACTCTGTAGTTCTATAGTTCTATGGCTCTGTGGTTTTGTGGCTTTGTAGTTCTTCGGTTCTGTGACCAGTTCTGTGACTCGGTGGCCCTGTGACTCTGTAGTTCTATGACTGTGGTTCTGTAGCTCTGTGGTTCTGTGGCTGTCATTCTATGGCTCTGTGGTTTTGTGGCTCTGTGGTTGTGGTTTTGTGGCTCTGTGGTTTTGTGGCTCTGTGGTTCTGTGGCTCTTTGGCATCGTGGTTCTGTGGCTCTGTGGTTTTGTAGCACTGTGATTCTATGGCTGTTCATTTTTAAGAAGACAGCTTTCTCTCCTGAGTCCCACAGACCACATCTCTAGACCCTCACAACAGCAGAGCCCTCTGGTAGGGTGAGACTCACCATGGAAGCACCCAGTCTGCAGCCTCTCCCCACCCCACTGGAAGGATTTTTCTAAATTTTTTTAAGATGCTTTCTTTTGGAGACTATGTTAGGTTCATCTCTCTAGGTACATAAATCTGTCCCACGAAGCTCAGCACAGGTCAGATACTCCAGGATCTCGCGTCTCCCGAGCGAGTACTGGGCCCTTGGGCCTGTTTCTCCCTGCCCTGGCCCTCCGGGGGCTGGGGTCCCCACATGGCAGGGGTATGTTAGGGGACAAGTGGGTACACAAACCCCGCAGAACCAGCATGCCAGGCCTTGCATGGGGCAGTGCCCATGGCCACCTGCAGCTGAGCAGAGGCCCTGAGGGCGTCCGCACCCAGCACTAGGCATGCCGTACCCAGTTAGTCACCTCCTGCCAGCTCCTTTTTGGGTTCCAGGCAATGGCCCTGCTGCCCGAGACAGGGACAGGCCCCTAGGGCACTGTGGGGCAAGGCCACAGCTGGCCAGAGGCAGCCCCAGGTTCTCGGCAAGGAGAAAGGCTCATTCAGGGCAGCCTGAGAGCCCACGGGATGCCCCGGGAGGCAGACAAGGGGGTAGTAAGACCCCCCCGACTCTAGCCCCCCCTACACACCAGTCAGCGGCAGGCCATGGGGTGGAAGCACCCAGCTCAGAGGTGCCGAGAGAAAATGCTGGAAGCAGCCCCCAGGCTGCACCACACTGCTGGCCGCTGGGCACTGGGGTACGGCCAGGGGGCCTGGCCACAGACAGGACACTCGGGCTGGCCGCCACATGCCACACTGTCAGGCCGCCACCTGACTCCAACCCTACATTTGCTTCTTTTGGGCTCAATGACACGAACAGAGCAGTGCTCCAGTGGGTGCTAGGTGCTGGGTGCTTTCTCCCCCCATGACACTCTCCGCTGGCTGCACTCTTGACCGACTCTCAGGGGATGGCTGGTCTAATCCCGGCTTTGTGTCTTTACACTCTGCAAACAAGTGAGATTATCCGCTGTTTGTCTCTCTCTGACTCACGCTGCTTGCCATCACTTCCTGCCGCTCTCACGGAGGCAGGATTCCATCTTTTCTCATCACCCGAGTACTGTTCCACATTCCAGTTGCATGGCCACAATTGTTTTATCCTGTGTGTGTGTGTGTGTTGTGTGTGTGTGTGGCCACACACGGGGGTGGGTGTTTCTTGAGACTCTGCTTGCAAGGGTCCCTCTTGAAATGTGGGGGTGTCCATCCCAAGAATCTATAATCTGAGAGGCCTGGAACCAGCAGGGCTGGACCCAACACAGACCTTGAACGGGGTAGGGGCCCTATCAGCCCTTGCGTGGCCTTCTGGGGCGGTGGGGAGGGGGGTGTCGCCCGGGGGCATCATCTTTTCTCTGCTACCTGGAGCTCCAAAGCCTGAATGTGACCCTCTTCTCCCCGTCCTCGTCTTTGCTGCACCCCAGGAAAGAGCGGGGCTACGTGGAGAAGCGCTGGGAGGATGTGCGCGTGGGCGACTTTGTGCGGCTACAATGTAACGAGATCGTCCCAGCGGATACTCTCCTGCTGTGCTCCTCGGACCCCAGCGGCCTCTGCCACCTGGAGACCTCCAACCTGGACGGGGAGACCAACCTCAAGCAGCGGCGAGCGGTGGAGGGCGTTTCCTGGCAGGTCAGGAGGGGAGGGGCACAAGTGGGCCAGGACCACGGGATGGGAGGAGGGGGGCGGTCCTTGTCTTTTAGGCTGAGCTGAGTTCAGGGTTACAGCAGCCCACTCCCTGCAGGGATTGGGGGGGAGGGATGGCAATGACCCACAGCAGAGGTTTGTTGGTCCTGGGATCCACCCACCATCCTATGCACCTTCCTCCCACCCACACACACCCTCACCGTCCCCCCTTCCAGAATCTTCTCTGGGGCTTCTCTGCACCCAGCATGATCAGTACCTATGCTGGCTGCTGTTTCGTGTCTGTAGGTCTGACCTTCTCGAGGGAACTGGACCCTCTCTGTGGTCAGGGAGAGATCACCGGGGAACAGGGGTGGGGGGATCCCCAAAACATGGCCTCCTATGCCCACTGGGCTGATGACAGAGGGTTCTCCTGTTTGCTCACAGCCATAGCTGGGACCAAGCCCTTGTCTCGAGACTCAGCAAGTTCTGCTGCGGCGAGGTCCCAGGGGAAGCCCCCACACCCCCTCCCCGAGCCAGTATACCCCCCGCAAGCTCTGCTGACCTCCGAGACCTCTTTCCAGCCCAGCAGTGTCTAGTGTCCTATGGAAACAGGGTGCTGAGAGCCTTCTGGGCCGGGCACCTCTTCCTACTCAGCATCCCTGCCGGGGTCTAGGGCACCGTTTGTCAAATCTGTTCTCAGTATTCAAGCTGGGTCTGGCCAGTGTGTTTCTCTGTCATATGGGCCTGTGGGGTCCTCAGAGGTGTTGGCCTGATCCTCCCCTGCCCAACTCCACACACCCTCCCCGGAGCCACAGAAACTGCCAATAGCACGATGCTGCCTTCTGGCTGGCCCTATAGGACAGCCTTAGAGCCAAGGCCAAATCCAGCAGTTTTCTCTTCGGTGGCCTTCTCACACCTGAAACTTCAGAGAAATTTCTGAGACGGGCACTTGAGATGTGACACCTCAGAATAAGCAGATGCCCTCCGTGTGGGGGAAGAAAGCAGTTCCCTAGTTCACTGCAGCAGAAATGGAGGTGGAGACTCTTCCCAGCTACCTCCCCAAGCCGTCGAAGCCCAGGTTCTGCTGAAGGGGGCTGTTCGGTAATGTCCTGGGCCCAGATAATGCCGAGGAGGCAGCATGAGTCAGCACCTCCAGCATTGCTCAAGGACTCCCAGGAAAGGTCCCAGCCCCCACGCTCGATCGGACCCGCATCTGCAGGTTAGGTGCCAGAGCAATGGGGCAGCTGGTAGGGCATTTGTTTTGCATCTGATTCCCCAGCACCCCCAATGCCCCCCCCCCAGGTTAGCCAGGATTAAACCCTGAGCACCACAGGGTGTGACCCAGAAACCAAAAACAAATCAAATCTGTAGGTCAGAAAGTTCCCAGCTTGGGTTAGAGAGATAATGCAGGGAGTCGGGCACTCCCTTTGGCTATGGCTGACCCCTGGGCACCTCCAGGAGTGATCTCCGGGCATTGGAAAGCCAGGGGCAATCTGGGGCCCCGCGGGTAATAACACTGCACCCATGACAACTGTGATCATGGTGCTTATCGGTTTATGGCCCCAGATAAAGATGCTTAATTGGCTTTCCCTTGAACTCGCTTGCATTTCGCTCAGGGTGAGGGCCTCTGGGCCCGTGGGTGATACTCTCGTGTGCCCAGACAGAGACTGTCCCTCCTCTACCCCAGGACCAGGTGCAGGGCACAGGGTAACATCTCTCTCCATTGGGGACACTGCTCACCTCTGCCTGCCCAGAGCAGGTGGCCGTAGACCAGATGGTCCGTGAGTAGGTGTTCGTCTGCCAGAGATGGACATCTCCAACAGAAAGCTTATTTCTGGGTCGGCTGGGGCCAACACAGGTTCGATTCCCAGCATCCCGTTTGGTCCCCTGAGTACCACCAGGAGTAATTCCTGAGTGCAGAGCCAGGAGTAACCCCTGTGCATCACCAGGTCTGATCCAAAAAGAAAAAAAGAAAGAAAGTTAAGGAGAAAGCAAAAAAGAAGGAAAGAAGGAAGGAAAGAAAGAAGGAAGGAAGGAAGGAAGGAAGGAAGGAAGGAAGGAAGGGTGGGCTTATTAGCTTATTTCTGGTTTTAAAAAAAATCCAGTTCTAGGCAAGAAACTCCCCCCTCCACCCACTTTCCATTCATTTCTAGAGTTAAGGGAGAAGTTTCTCCTGAGTTCGCAGCACCTGGATTGGCCTCACCTGCATGCAGCTCATCTACCAGAGTCATTGCGTGCCTTGGGGAGGGTCCCCGGGAGCCCCTGAGGGAAGCCCATGATTGAGGCTGGCACTGGGGGCTGCTGGTTACCCTGGTCTCTGTCGGACCCCCAGGAGGTGTGGCAGGGCACATACACGAGATCTCTTGAGTTTGGCAGTGACCATCTCAGAAACGTCCAGTAGGACGTGACTGTCCCGTCACACCAGGCACAGCTGGACTCTGCTGGGACTGTGTAGACTCGCCCACCCCAAGCCCTGTCTGCCGCACAAGTAGGATCTCACAAGCAGCCTGGTGTGTCTTCTGTTGGAGAGCAGCTGGGGACCTTGGCTAAGAGCAGCAGGACTGAGTGTGGGCTGGAGGGGAATGGTGTCATAGGAACAAAGGACAGTCGAGTCCCCATGCTCAGACGGGACGCCTCGGCATGCCGGCCTCAACACACTCGCACCCGCCTCCTCTCCTTCCCGAGTCAGCTTCTCAAGCCTGAGCGCCGTGGTGGGAGAGCCCAGTGGGCAGGGTGCCTGAGCCTGGCATCGGGGCCGTTGAGCCTGGCAGCCCAGGGAGAAGCATATCCCAGGAGGCAGTGGAAGCACCACTCTTGAGATAAAATGGAAGCAAGGGTGGGGCGTAAGGGGGCACAGAGTGAGTAGCGGGGACCAACAGCTACATAAGATCCTGTCCTGAGTCACCCGTCCACTCCCATGTGTGAAGAACAGTGGGAAGTTATCCGGCAAAAGGAAGAGTTGAGGTCAGTGCCAAGACCAGCCCAGTCACTGGGCCCTCTCAACTTCTTTGCTTTCCCTTGGCCTCCCCTGGAAGTTCATTCCTGAAGTGCCCCCGCCCCAGGGCACCTGGCCAGCTCACTGGGCTCCCCCAGAAACACCATCGGCACCCCCAGGGGAGCGCATCCCATGTGGCCACACCTCTCCCTACCTGCCCGGCTCCTGCCCTTGGATACTGGGCATCCTCTTTGGTGCATGGATGAGCTGACGGACAAGTGGGCGGCCGGGCAGGTCAGGTCTGGATGGGGAGCTGGGCCTTTGTGATCTTTTTGATTCGTCAAGCTGGAGATCACCCTTGACATTAATGGGGAGAATGTGAACCCGAATAGTAAGGACATGGTGTGGGGATGGTGTGTGTCAATCAGCCAGTGTTAGCGGGAGGCAGGGGGAAAGGAACTCATCCATCACTGGGTTAGCCTGCATGGAACACAGCATGGCAGTTTCTCAATAAATAAATAAATAGTTGATCTTGCACAAGCCTCCACCCCGCCCTGCCCGGAGTATCACCACGGCTCTGACACTATGAAGAAATCCAAGGAGTCAGAATAAATAGCAAGAGTAGAGCCCCATATGACTCAGGGACCCAATTTTTTTGGTTTGGGTTTTTTTTGGTGTTTTTGTTTTTTGGCCTCTACCTCACCCCCACCTTAAGATACAAAACACATGAGTCCAGAAAGATCTCTGCACATCTGTGTTCACTGCAGTGATGAATGCAATAGTGAGGATATGGAAGCCGGCCTCATGTCCACGGACAGATGGACAGATGGACACTGGCAGTATACATGGTCTGGCGGTATACATGGCAGTATGCATGGTCTATGTACACAGCAGGACACTCTCGAGCTACAGGAAGACAGTCAAGTTGTTTTAGGCAACAATCATGTCACGTTTCTGTGACCCCCGTCTCTCACGGTGTCCTGTCTCTCCCAGGGGGGCCACCTGGACCCAGAAAGCTTCTGCGACACCATCGTGTGCGAGAAACCCAACCATCACCTCAGCAGGTTCCGGGGTTACTTGTGAGTATCTGGTGTCTGCCCCCACCCCTAACTGGTGGGAAACCCCCGTGGTTAGAGACTGCCCATATCTCTCTTGTCATCGTGGGCACGGAACAGCCCTATACCCCCACGAGTGTCCCCGCGAACCCCTCACACTCCTCTGTTGTGTATCAGCCCAGATGTCTGAGCCTCTGGGGCTGAGGGAGGTGGTTTCTTTCCTTCATGAGCAGGAGCTAGAGAAATCTCCAGATGCTCACAGGGAAACTTTTTTTTTTTTCAGATGAGGCAGTTAATTACCTTTTTAGGATAAAGCTCTCCATTGGATTTTGGGGGATTTTTTTGGAACTCTGGTGAAATCACATGAAAATCAAGACCCCACTCTGACTTCCGGGAGGACAGGATGATTTCCTGAGCTGTTTATAGGAGCACGCAGGACTGTGGAGATCAGAACGAGGCTGGGGAAGTTGTGACTCTGGGCACTGTGCCCTGGATAAATTAATTAACCTCTCTGGGCCCTTGGCTTCCCATCTATCAAGTCAAGACCATAACACCTACCTCGGAAGAATGAGGTCGCTTGTGATATAGCAGAGGCCCGAACAGGCGACCGTGACAGCTACTGGCGTGTGGATGCTCCACTGCAGTTTGCCTGGGCACCTTCCTGCAAACACAGCCTGGGCAGATGGGTGGCATGAATGGCTTGGCTTTGCCACCATCCACTGAGAAGGTGCTTCACTGCTGGGAGACGCAGGGCCTCTGCCACAGCATTACCTCAGAGCATTACAGACATGCCCTTAAGCCACACACTGTTGATGGGAAGTCATTCCAGAGCTTCTTCACATTGTACCTGCATGACCACACACACACACACACACACAGAAACGTGCACACACACACTCAGAGGCACACACACAGAGACACACACATGCACACACACGTGCACACACTCAGACACACATGCACGCGTGCACACACACACTCAGAGGCACACATACAGAGACAAACATGGGCACACATGCACAGGCACACACACGTGCGCACACATAGGCACACATAGACATACTTGTGCACACACATACACCCAGAAGCACACATACAGAGACACACATTCACACACAGAGACACACACAGACAGACACATGCACACACTCAGAGACACACAGACACACATGCACACACACATGTGCACACACAGACACACAAGCACACACACTCAGGCTCACATTCAGAGACACACAGAGATACATGCGCACACACACACACTCAGAGGCACACACAGAGACACACATTCACACACACACTCAGAGGCACACACAGAGACACATGCAGGTGGGAGCAGAGGGAAGGGGGTTCCCTCACCTCTGGTGTCCCCAGTGTTGTCCCGTGACACTCAGGTGAGGTTGCCTGCCCCCCTCCCCACCCACCCATGTTTTCTCCTCCCCAGGGAGCACCCAGACCAGACCCGGACAGGTTTCGGCAGCGAGAGCCTTCTGCTCCGCGGCTGCACCGTTCGGAACACCCAGACAGCTGTCGGCATCGTGGTCTACGCTGGTGAGTGTCACGGCCACCTCTGCGGGCTGGCCTCCTGCGTCTACGTGTCCCTCACATCCCCACCCCATCCCCTCTGAGTGCAGCTCCCTTGGGTGAAGGGGGAGGGGTGGGGGCAGGAACCTGAGACTTCCCAGTTCTCAGTGGGATGCCAGCAGCTATGGTGGGAGGCAGAAAGATTCAGAATTGGGCCAGTGTCATTATGGGGTGGGCGGTGGGGATAGGGACATGCACTGTCCCACTGAAGCGCCAGCCCCGCTACTTTTCTTACTTGTCTCCTTGGGGTACTTGCACCAGAATGAACCCCACCCTCCCCACCCTCTCCCAGAAGGGTGCCTTGGTGCAATGAGAAAGAGAAGCCCGGGGTTGGAGCGATGGTACAGCAGGGAGCGCATTTACCTTGCATGCGGCCAACCTGGGTTCAATCCCCAGCCTCCCATAGGGTCCCCTGAGCACCACCAGGGGTGATTCCTGAGCAAGGAGCCAGGAGTAACCCCTGAGCATCTCTGGGTATGACATCGCCCCCGCCAAAAAAAAAAATTAATAAAGCAGAAAAAGGGGCTAGAGTGATAGCAAAGTGGGTAGGGCATTTGCCTTGCACGCGGCCAATCTGGGTTTGATTCCCAGCATCCTATATGGTCCCCCAAGCACCACCAGGAGGGCAGAGCCAGGAGGAACCCCTGAGAATCACTGGATGTGACATCGCCCCCACCCTTGACCCATCACTTCAGTAGTTGGAAGTGTATCCCAGTAGGCTTCTGGCACCTTGAGAATTGTGCAGTAAGCAACTTGGGTGCCCTCGCCAGCAGCCCTGTGGGACATGGGCCAGAGGCACCACAGCTGATCAGGGAGTGACTGGGACACCTCAGGATTGCTCAGTGTGCAGCCCCGGTGCCTCTAGAGCTAGGCCCTGCGCACACTCTAGCTGTTCCGACGCCCCCCACAGCACCGGGTGTGTCAAGGGGGGCCAGCAGCCTGCTCGGGGAGCTGCTCCAGCCCCTCTCACACTCCACTGTGACGCAGACAGATTAGAGAGCGAAGCCGCCCTCGGTGGCTGTTCCTGGGAGAAGGGCAGAGAGTCAGCTGCAGGTGTGACGCCGGCCGAGCCAGAGACTGACTCTGCTCTCCCCCTGAAGGCCACGAGACCAAAGCCATGCTCAACAACAGCGGCCCACGGTACAAGCGCAGCAAGATCGAGCGGCGCATTAACACCCATATCTTCTTCTGCATCGGCCTCCTCTTCCTCTTGTGCCTCATCGGAGCCGTAGGTAGGGAATGTTCCGGAAAGAACATCACAGCCACGTTCTTTTTTCTTTGGCTTCCCTCTCTGGGTTTCCTTGTCTGTAAAACAAGGGTGGGGGAACCCCCAGTCTACCCCCTGCTTGAACGGGATCCTTAGAACAGGGTGTGCAAGTGAAAACATTGGCTGCCAAGAAAATACTGACAGGACTGGGCTCGCTCTTAATATGGGAGGATACCAAGGTGAGACCATCAGAGGCTGGACCTTTGAGCTCCTAGCCCAGGACGAAGGACCAATATGCCAACAGGATCCTCCTGGTCCTGTGCAGGGCTGCATGGATAAGTGGATGGATGAGGAGTGGATGGATGAGTAGGTGGGTGTATAGATGGATGGATGGGTCAGTGGGCGGATGGATGGATGGATGGATGGATGGACGGATGGATCGGTGGGTCGATGGGTGGGTGGATGGATAGATGGATGGGTGGATGGGTGGATGGATGGACGGGTGGACGGGTGGACGGATGGATGGATGGGTGGATGGGTGGATGGGTGGACGGGTGGATGGGTGGACGGACGGACGGACGGATGGATGGATGGATGGATGGATGGATGGATGGATGGACAGATGAATGGATGGGTTGGTGGGTAGATGGATGGGTTGGTGGTAGATGAGTGGATGGATGGGTGGGTGGGTGGACGGATGGATGGATTGGTGGATGGATGGATTGGTGGATAGATGAGTGGAAGGATGATGGGTCGGTGGGTGGATGTGTGGATAGATGGATCAGTGGGTGGATAGATGGTTGGATTGGTGGATGAGTGGATGGATGGATGGATGGATGGATGGATGGATGGATGGTTTGGTGGGTGGGTAGATGGATGGATGAATGATGAATGGATCAGTGGGTGGGTAGATGGATGGGTTGGTGGGTGGATGAGTGGATGGATGGATGGATGGATGGATGGGTCAGTGGGTGGATGAAAGGATGGGTGGATGGGTAGGTGGGTGAGTGGATGGATACTGAATAGGTGGATGGGTGGGTAGGCGGCTGATGGGTAGAAGGACAGATGGGTGGGTCATAGTGTGTACGGGGAAAGTAGAGGACTAGGGTGTAGATCTGTGAAGAGCCCCCCCCCAAGCCATATATTTTCCCCTACCCAACCGGGAAGAACATGAATCCCTTTCTTAATGAATCCCCATGCTTATGTAAGCAACCCCCTTGCTAGGATATCAGTGCCTGTGGAGAAGCTGAGACGCAGACCCTCTGAGGGAGATAACACCTGTATGCCCCCAGCTGGGTGGTGGAGGTCCTAGACATGCACCCTCGAAGCCCACTCCATTCTACCCATAGGTGCCAGAGCAGTTGCCGAGCTAAGTGACAACCATGCCTCCTCCTGGTTTTGCCTCCCCCAGGTCACAGCCTGTGGAATGCCACCTTCGAGGAGCACCCTCCCTTCGATGTGCCAGAGGCCGACGGGAGCTTCCCGCCCCTGGCACTGGGCGGTTTCTACATGTTCCTCACCATGATCATCCTGCTCCAGGTACTGTCCCCTTCCCCCACACCAGAGACGCCGGAAAACCCACAGCCAGCACCAGCCTGCAGGACCCAATGAAAACAAACTCCATGCCCATCCCAGGGGGACATCCCAGGGCTGGCACGGGGACCAGCTTTCCTGACAGGGACTGTGCTCAGTGCCCTGCCCATGTGGCAGGGACTCTGACCCCAGATAAGAGCCAAGGCAGGGGCTAGAGCGATAGCACAGCATGGAGGGTGTTTCCCTTGCATGCGGCCAACCTGGGTTCAATTCCCAGCATCCCATAGGGTCCCCTGAGCACCGCCAGGAGTAATACCTATGCCTTGCCAGGTGTGACCCAAAAAGCAAAAAAAACAAATAAATAAAAAGAGCCAAGGCAAACGTTGATCAGACCCCTCTGTGATCAGACTGACCCCCACAGCCACTCCGGGTCCCTTCCCACCCAACAGCCGGTGAATGCCATGTGCATTCAAGTTCCTCCTCCCCGGAGCCTGTGGCCCTCATTCAAGATGGCTTTAAGATTCATTTCTTTATAAGAGTTTACGGCTTTGGTGTGCAGTTACTGCACGTTCAGCACTGCCACAGTGCCCAAGAGACCTCCCAGCCCCCCCCCCCACCATCCCTGTTACCTCTAGTCCCCTCGCTTGTTCACAGAGTAAATCCGCTTGCTCTCTCTCTTCTCCACCCTCAGCCTGAACCCTCACCCTGCCCACCTCACCCCCATCATTCCTCCTCCCACGGAGCTTCAGATCCCCTTGCTCCAGAGGGCAGGGTTGATCTGGGAGAACCTCCCCAGTCACCCCAGTCTTCCTCCTCACTGCTCTTCACTCTTCAGGATGCTTGCCCCCAGCCCGGGAAGAGCTCTGGACAGGTTTGCTGGCATCTGAAAGTCTGGGGGGGGTCAGAAGTTTGGTTCTCTTCACTGCCATTCCCGGCACCTAGCCCAGCCCCCAGGAGATGGAGGATCTTTTTGATTGGATTGGAAGCGCGGTGATTCACAGCCCTCTTGAGATTAGGGCTTCACACTCCGTCTGGTAAACCAGTTCTGATTTTAGGTCGCCTTGGGGCACTTGTCACCATTGCCCCCCTGTGTTTCCTTACATCTCAGACACGAGGCAAATCATGTCTGTCCCAGGATCTCCCCTGACTCAGTTTACTCGGCAGGAAATCCTCCAGGTCCATCCAAGTGGCGGGCATCTGCTCATTTTCTTCCCGGAGTGGAGTGCATACCCACCTGAGTGCGTGTATGTTCCACCGTTTCTCTGAGAGAGTGGTCTTACTGATTTTTGTTGTTGTTGTTTGGAGGCTAAACACCCAGTAAGGGATTGTGGAAGTCTTGCATGTTATGTCCTGTTGGTTCAAAGTTAGTAACACAAAAGAAGTATTATGCTATTGAAAGTTTAGTTCTGATAGGGTGGTCTGTGTCCATGTGTAGGTCAGGGTTGCCGTGACGATCATCCTTAGCATTAGGGTTAGACGAGGGCTAGGGCTAGGGTGTGATTTCTGAACATCTTAGCTGTAAGACTTCTGTGTTCTTCTGTGTTCTTAAAAATGAATGTGAACTATGGGGAGATCTTTAAATTTATGAAAATAGGTAGTTTGGGGACATCAGTGAGGTCAAAAATAGAATGGGTTAGGATTACTGTAGGGTTAGTATTAAGAGTTGCGTTAGGTTTGAGTGTTAAATATTGTCTAAAAGTTAGTAATGCATTGGTGGTCATTAAATTTGGGCTAATAGGATTATGCCTGTGCTTGAGTCAGGGATGGTATAATGACAGGATTAGCGGAGGGGTAGGGTTAGCATTGGGCTTGTGGAGAATTTAGAAGTTGTCTTTTACTGTGTTCATGCCAAAAAAAAAAAAAGAAAAACCTGTAAATTATGGGGAGATATTTAAATTTAGGAAAATAGGTAGTTTGGGCATTGGTAATGTCAGGCACAATATGTTAGGATTAAAGTTAGAGATGGTATGGGGATTTTAGATGATAAGGAATGTTGTCTTCAAAATTCAGAACACAAGTGAAATATTAGACAGCGGTTCAGTTTGGACCATGGGGTAGGTTTATGCCTTTCCTTGTGTCAGTGTTAATATAAAGATAGAATCAGCTTTAGGATTATTCTGGGACTAGAGTTAGGGTACGGTTTGTGGAGGTTTTAGGAGTTATATTTTTACTGTGTTCATATTTTAAAAAGAACATCAAGTATAGTGCAATATTTGAAACTCAGAATATTGGTAATTTTTGGTGTAAGCAATGTCAGGTTTCATGTGTGTTAGCATTTGGATTTGCCTAGGGCTAGCCTTAGGGTTTGGTGCTCTGGGCTTACTCCTGTGGTATAAGTTGGTACTAAGGGCTCACTCCTGACTCCGTGCTCAGGGCTGACTCCTAGCTCTTTGCTCAGGGACCACTCCTGACTCTGTGTCAGGGATCACTCCTAGCTCTGTGCTCAGAGTTGACTTCATGCTCTGCTCAGGGATCACTCCTGGATCATCTTAGGGATCACTCTTGGCTCTGTGCTCAGGGCTCACTCCTAGCTCTGTGCTCAGGGCTCACTCCTGGCTTTTATGCTCAGGACTACACTCCTGGCTCTGTGCTCAGGGCTCACTCCTAGCTCTATGCTCTGGGCTGACTCCTGGCTCTGTGCTCAGGGACCACTCCCTGGAGAGTTCAGGTGAGCATACCCAGTGCCGCAGATGGACCCCTATATCAGCTGTGTGCAAGGCCCACATCCTGCCCTCCACCGGAGACAGCAGCAGGTCCTGAGCAGGCCACCGGAACCTACTGTGGGCCTGGACCACTGTACGTGTGAGGCCCGGAGAGCGAAGGACACCCTTCATCCCTGCCTGCGGAGTCTTTAAACAATGTCCAGTGCCCCCTCACGCCAGGCATCCCTGGTGGGCGTAAGATGGCCTCTCCCTTCCTGGTTCCTGGGGAAGTTGGAGGCGGGCCAGAGGTCATGGGCCGGACCAAGGTGACGGGGCCCGGCTGTTCCCCTGCAGGTGCTCATCCCCATCTCCCTGTACGTGTCCATCGAGCTGGTGAAGCTAGGCCACGTCTTCTTCCTGCACCACGACCTGGACCTCTACGACGAGGACAGCGATGCTGGCATCCAATGCCGCGCCCTCAACATCGCCGAGGACCTGGGCCAGATCCAGCACATCTTCTCCGACAAGACGGGGACGCTGACGGAGAACAGGATGGTGTTCCGGCGCTGCAGCATCGCGGGCGGGGAGTACGCGCACCAGGAGAACGGTACGGGGGCTCCCCGAGGCGCCAGGAGAGAAGAGGGACGTGACTCTGATCGGCCACCTGTGCCCGGGACTCCTGTTGTTATTGACTTTGGGGGTGGGCTGGTGGGGGGGGGGTGTGAGTCTCTGTAGTGCCAGAGACCTAACTGGGGTTGGCCACGGGCAGCGCCCTACCCACTGAGCTCTCTCTGCGGCCCCTTCCTGTCTAAAGTCTTTCTCACCTCTGAAAACTTTCCTTTGTACGTAAGACTCTGGGTAAGACTGTCTCTGCTTGGGGCCTGAGTGATAGCACAGCAGGTAGAACATTTGCCTTGCACGTGGCTGACCTGGGATCGATCCCTGACATCCCATAGGGTCCCCCGAGCCAGGAGTAATTCCTGAGTGCAGAGCCAGGAGTGACCACTGTGCATCACTGGGTGTGACCCAAAAAGGAAAAAAAAAGTCTTTCTCTGCTTGCCTTAGCTGAGGTGTTGGGACAGGCCTGCATCTACACTTGTGAGCAGATTGGATGCAGGCAGGAGACACCCTCACAATCCCCCTCCCCATACACATGCACACGCACGCACGCGCACACACACACACACACACACACACACACATACATACACACACACGCACACCATTTTCTCCTCTCTCCTGTCTCTCTTCTCCTCCCTCCCTACACTCTCCTCTCTCTCTCCTCCCTCCCTACACCATCCCTCAATACACATGCACACACACACACACACACAAACACACACACGCACACATGCACACACACCGTTCTCTCCCCTCCCTGTCTCTCTCCTCTCCTTTCTCTTCCCCTCCTCCCCCCCCAAACTCCCCCAGGGTGCTCAAGGCCTGGTGGCCACTCGGGTCTCCTTGCCCTGATGGTGGTGGACTTGAGTTGCTGATCAGTGCTGCGGCCCCCCAGGACCACACTCAGACCCGGGCCTCTGCCTGCGTGCCCTGCTCCCAGCCCCTCTCCCTGAGTCGTGACAGCGAGCCTGACCATGAGCCAGCCGCCTCTCTAGGGGGGCAGTACATGGCCCCTACCTGTGGCATCCTCCCACCCCAGTCTGCACCCTGGGAAGCCACACTCAGCAACTAACGACCTCTTTTCTCGCAGCCAAGAGACTGGGGACGCCACAGGAGCTGGACTCGGCCAGCAGAGAGTGGACCCAGTACCAGAGTCTGTCTTTCCCAACTGGCCAGGCTGAAGGGCCGAGGAGAGGCCACGGGTCGGCGCAGCCCCTGAGACGAAGCCAGAGCGCCCGGGTGCCCCTGCAGGGCCACGCCCGACAGAGCAGATGGCCCAGCGTGGCCTTCAGCAGCCCCCTGGTGAGTCCAGCCGGGAACGGGGGAGCCCGGGGGGAGTGAAGGGAAGCCCCCTGCACATGCCAACCATGTTCTCTCGAGTCCCTACCAAGTCTTACTGATCTCAGATGGTCGGTCCTTCGCATGGGGGAGACTTCCTACAGACCCAGCTTCTCTGTAAACAGTGTGACGGGCAAAAGTGACCCCATCCAAGGGCTGGAGTGATAGCACAGTGGGGAGGGTGTTTGCCTTGCACACAGCCGACCCTGGTTCGATTCCCAGCATCCCATAGGGTCCCCTGAGCACCGCCAGGAGTAATTCCTAAGTGCAGAGCCAAGAGTAACCCCTGTGCATCACCGGGTGTGACCCTAAAAGCCAAAAACAAACAAACATACAAAAAAGCCTGACCCCATCTGGCCAGTGGTCCCACCCCTGAGTTGACAATGAAGTGACAGTGACAGTGCTCACAGCTCCCCAGTGGCCGTTCCTTTCTACCCGGTGATGCTCAGGGGTTACCCTTGGCTTTGCACTCAGGAATCACTCCTGCTGGTGCTCTGGGCACTGTGGGATGCCAGGGATTGAATCTGGGTTGGCCGTGTGCCAGGCAAACCCCCTACTGGCTGCGCTGTTGCTCCTAACCCCAGCCCAGCGGGTGTTCTAGAACTCGAAGAATGGAACATCTGAGCTGGCATGGCCTTCCAGGCCCAGGGCCCCAAATCTCCTTTTCCGTCCACTGTGGATTGGTTCTGTGGCCCTGACTGATGGCTCAGAGCTGGTATCCGCAGTGGCCCCGTCCAGAGGAAGGCCTCATGCATGGTCCAAGGATCTGTCTCCTGTTTGTATATGTGTGCTATGAACGGGTGAAGACTCACACCCTGGCCAACCATTCTCAGGGAACGTGCATGTGCCAGTGGGGAGGCCTGGTGGGGGTCTACAGAGGGGCAGGGGGGCAGGGACCCAGTGCTGTGCCCCAGCTGTGGAGATTTTTGTGTGTTCACAAGAATCCGGGAGGAGAATAACAACAGGAAAGGTTTTTGCCTTGCATGCAGAGAACCCGGGTTCGATCCCTGGCACCCCGTATGGTCACCTGGTATGCTCCCCCTAAAAAAAAAAAAAAAGAATCATGGAGGAGCTGAGCTGTGAGGCTCCCTAGCAAGGCCTCAGAGACCTTGCCTGGCCCGTAAAACACCTGAGGCTGTGAAACAAACCTGAGTGCGTCGCCCCTGTCCAAGGATGATGATGATGATGATGATGATGATGTGGAACTGGAGTACAGGGGCACCACCCACACCAGAGGGGCCAGCCAGGCTGGGAGTGCACTGCAGCTGGTCAGAGCCCACAGGGAAACCCCCACTGTGTGGGAAATGGGGTGCCAGGCGGGGGCTGGTAGGGGAGGGGTGAGGACAGGGACTCAGGGGCCTGAGATGGGGCAGGCAGGGCCATGGGGTGAAGCTGAGGGTGGGTGCTGCATCGGGCATCTTGGGGACAGGTGGGGGCATGGGGGAGGGGCCCTGGAAGCCTCACCCAGACCCTCCCATGCAGGAGAGAGAGGTGAGCCCCGACGGGAGCCTGCAGGCCCGGGTGCAGGAGGCCAGCCTGTGGCTTCACATGCTGGCCAGCACCCAGGGATCTGCCAGGCCTGCGCCCTCGCCCGCCTCCTCCGTGGCCGACTTCTTCCTCGCCCTGACCATCTGCAACTCGGTCATGGTGTCCACCACCTCGGAGCCTCCGCACAGGGTAAGGACCGGGCAGGTGGGGGGGTTGGGGGGGCTTCTCCCGCCGGGATCCGCCTGGATCGTTTCTCATTCCCAAGGCAGCGGGTCTGTCTGCTGGGGTGCTAGGGCCCCCGTTTGTTGAGCTCCTGGGGTGCCCCCGGGCCAGCCTCCCCCACACTGCACCCCCCCCGCTATCCCTCACACTGCCCAGGGATCCAGCACCCCGCCTCTGAGTTGCACGTTGGGCTCAGCTGGGGCAGGAACTTGTCTGGCCCCACGGTCGTCATGCTGAGCTGCCTGCTCTCTGCCCCGATACTTTTAGAAGGGGGTCAGGGTGCAGCAGACGCCCACGGGAAGTCCCACTGCGCTAGAAATAAGCACAGAGCACGGCTCTGCGGGCCAGCCGATAACTGAAAACTCACTGGGATGTGTCCATGGGACAAAACAGGTCCCCCCTCCCCCGCGCGTACACACACACACACACACACACACACACACACACACACACACACCCTAAACCAGACGTCCCCAGCCCCCAGGGGAGGGAAACTCTTGCTCCCAAAGCTCCTTTCAGCCTGTCTTCAGGGGAACTCGGGGTGCTGGGGGCTGGCAGTCTAGCCTCGGGGGTTAGGGGGAGTTAGGCACTACAGCCTGGAGGCCTTGCCTGCCCCCGGTGGTGTGCCTCAGTTTCTTCACCAGAGTCAGGGAGAGCGATGCATGACAGGCAGAGCTGAGCTGGGGTGTTGGGAGAAGCATGTGCTGCCCGGAGCCCCCCTTGTTCCCCCCTACCACCATCCATAATCACACTGGGGTATCCAGAGGGTGGGGGTGGGAGTGAGGAAACTTCTGCTGGCCTCCCTCACATTAGTGGGATTAAATGAGGCTCTGATGGGGAGGAAATGCACCCCATAATCCACTAAATCAGTGATGGTTGGAGAGATCGTTCGGGATGGGAGATGCGTGCTGAAAGAAGATAAAGGACCAAATGTGATGGCCTCTCATATCTGTATCGCAAACCATAATGCCCGAAAGTAGAGAGAGAGAATATGGGGGAAATTGTCTGCCATAGAGGCAGGGGTCTGGAGCAATAGCACAGCAGGTAGGGCATTTACCTTGCATGTGGCTGGCACGGAGGACCCGAGTTCGATTCCTCCACCCCTCTCGGAGAGCCCAGCAAGCTACCGAGAGTATCTCGCCCACGTGGCAAAGCCTGCAAAGCTCCTCATGACATATTCAATATGCCAGACACAGTAACAACAAGTCTCACAATGGAGATGATATTAGTGCCCGCTCGAGCAAATCGATGAATGAGAAGACAGTGACAGAGGCGGGGGGAGGGAGGTTGGGATGGGGGTGCGGGGGGGATACTGGGAACATTGGTGGTGGAGAATGTGCACTGGTAGAGGGATGGTTGTTTGATCATGGTATGACTGAAACTCAAACCTGAAAGCTTGTAACTGCATCTCATGGTGATTCAATTAAAAAAAAAAAGTCCGTTACCGCCGCCCCCCCCCACCACCACCACCATCAGTCAGACTTTCGTGGCTTGTGGCACCGCAGGTCACCTCCCCGCCTGCCTCGGCCCTGGGCACATCCCTGGAGAAGATCCAGCAGCTCTTCCAGAAGCTGAAGCTCTCCAGCCTCAGCCAGTCTTTCTCGTCCACGTCGGACATGGACCCCGGGGAGACCCTGGGGCCTTCCCCTGCAGCCCCCAGCTCAGAGGACGGAGAGGACGGGTCCGAGGACAGCATGGGCTGCAGCCCCGATGGGCCCTGGGAGCCGAGTGACAGTGGGGACTTGGCGGCCCCCGAGCTCTGCTATGAGGCCGAGAGCCCCGATGAGGCGGCACTGGTACACGCGGCACGCGCCTACGGCTTCACACTACTGTCCCGAACGCCCCAGCGCGTGGCCGTGCGCCTGCCCCATGGCACCCGCCTGGCCTTCCCTGTGCTCGGCATCCTGCCCTTTGACGCCACGAGGAAGCGCATGTCAGTGGTCGTGAGGCACCCGCTGACCCGGGAGATCGTGGTGTACACCAAGGGCGCCGACTCGGTCATCATGGACCTGCTGGAGGACCCGGCCTGTGGTGAGTCCCGCCACCCTGGGCCCCTAGAACCGAGCATCATGGAGCCCTCCTCAGGCCGGGGCCCCTTCCCCATGGCGCCAAGGACACTCTGTCCTGACGTTCGGGGAGAGGTCCTCATACTGCTCCGCATCAAGGTGGAGCCAGACGGCATTCCCGTGAGCCAGCAGTGCCACTTCTGATCATCTGTCCCCCAGACACATAAAAAGCACTGATTGGAGAGGACACACACACACACACACACACACACACACGCACACATGCACACACATGCATGCATGCGTGCACACACAAACAAATGCATGCACACATGTACACACACCAACACATGAAGGCACACACGCATGCTCACACACATGCACACGCGCACACACACAAACACATGCATGTGCACACACATGCATACTCACACAAACACACATGCACGCCCGTGCATGCAAACACATGTGTGCATGCAAACACACACAACACACACATGCAAAAATGTGCATGCACACGCATACACACAAGCACATGCACACACATGCATGCTCACACGCATGCATGCATGCACACACACGCACACACATGCACACACGTGTGCATGGATGCACACGCGCACACACACCAACACATGCAGGCACACACACATGCATGCTCACACATGCACGTGCACATGCATACACACACAAACACATACATACACATGCATGCTCACACAAACACACACATGCACACACACACACACAAACACGGACACACTCACACACACACACACCCCTGTGTTTACTGCTGCATTTGGTACAGCAGCCAAGAGAGGGACCGTGCCTGATACCCGGTTGCAGATAAGTGGATTAGGGAGCCGTGCTCTGCATGCACAGAGGAAGCCCACGCAACTCTTAAGGAGGAACTACTGAATCGTTCGGATTGTGCCGTTTGGGGGGAACTCAAGGATGTGGTGCTGAGAGAAGTCAGTTGGATGAAGGGGGCAGAGGCAGAATGATCTCCCCCAGAGGGGACTTAAAGGGTCCCCAGCCCACGAGGGAGAAGCAAAGACCCAAAGGCAACAAACACAATGGAGCTGCACAACTGGGCTGAGGGGGTGTGGTGGGGGGCTTGGGGCCCTTGGGGGAGGGAGACGTACACAGGGGATGGCTGAGCTGTCGACCTTATATGCACGAGGAACCGTTAATAGCACGGTAACCCAAAAGATTAGATAATTTTTTGGTTTTGCTTTTGGGTGGGTTTTGTTATTGTTATTGCTGGACCATACTCAGCCATGCTCAGGGCTTACTCCTGGCCCTGCACTCAGGAATCACTCCTGGTGGGCTCAGGGGACCCTATAGGATGCTGGAGATCAAACCCAGGTAGGCTGTGTGCATACAAGGCAAGCTTCCTACCCACCACACAATCTCTCCAGCCCCCTCAAAATATGAAGTAATTTATTTTTATTTATTTTGCTTTTTTGGGTCACACCCAAAGATGCACAGGGGTTCCTCCTGGCTCTGCACTCAGGAATGACTCCTGGCAGTGCTCAGGGGACCCTATGGGATGCTGGGATTCGAACCCAGGTCGGCCACGTGCAAAGCAAATGCCCTCCCCGCTGTGCTATCGCTCCAGCCCACAATATAAAATATTTTTTTTAAAAAAATGCTGAGGGAATCAGGGACAGAGACCACTGCACACATGCATGCATATGAGAGAGAGAGAGAGAGAGAGAGAGAGAGAGAGAGAGAGAGAGAGGAGAGAGAGAGCTCTGAAGGGACCACGTCTGCCTCACAGAGTCGGACCCTGAGGTGGAAAAGAAGATGCGGAAGATGCGGGCCCGGACACAGAAGCATCTGGACCTGTACGCCAGGCATGGCCTACGGACCCTGTGCATCGCCAAGAAGGTGAGAGCAGCCGTGGCCTGCGTGGAGGGGCTGGCCCCTACCCCCACACTCCCGCAACTTCCTCTGAGTCCACACAATGCCTCAATGCCTCTCTTCATACTTCCCAGTCCCTGCCCCATGCCCCATTCTTCCTTCCTGGTGTCCTTCCATGTGGCGTTATTTGCACAAGAGTTGACACACGGGGGGCTCGTGTCCACAGTCAAAACTCTGTGAGGCCCAGTGTGGCAGCCGCAGCTCCTGGGAGACTGTCCCGTGTTTGCGAGCATCTGAGTGCAGCTCGAGTTCTTATGTCATGAAGAGAACTTGCAAGGCCAGAGAGATTGGACAGAGGTTAAGGCGCCTACCTTGTACATGGCCAAGCACCACAGAGTCCCCGGGGCCCTGCCAGGAGTGATCCCTGAGCACAGAACCAGGAATCAGCCCCTGGATGTGCTACAAATCCCACCACAACCCCCCAAAAAAATATTGTAGCTAAGCCGCCTTCTTGTGGAGGGTGGTCATGCCCAATCTCGGTGTGGGCAGAGATTGAATCCTCACTCTGTCCTCTTGGAATGCATGTTAGAGGCTTATATTTTTTGTCAAATCAAGCTTTCTGGGGACTGGAGTGACAGTACAGCAGATAGAGTGTTTGCCTTGCATGTGGCCAACCCGGGTTCAATTCCCGGCATCCCATAGGGCCCCCAAGTGATGGAGGAATTGCCAGGAGTGATTCCAGAGTGCAGAGCCAGGAGTAACCCCTGAGCATTGCTGACTGGGACCCAAAAAGCCAAAAAAAAAAAAATCTAACTTTCTGGTTTCTCTTGACAATGGCAAGGAGCTACCAGGCTCAAGCCTCTGCTCTTGAGTGGCCTCAATGGGCAGGAGGCCACGCTCCCTGCCGTCCCCTGTGGTCACCCCAGCGGAGGCCCCGCAGGTGTCCGTGTGTTGGGGGGCTGAGGGGATCCTGCTTGCTGAAGTCGCGCCGTCCCAACCCACAGGTGCTGAGTGAAGAGGACTTCCGGCGCTGGTCCAGTTTCCGGCGAGAGGCCGAGGCATCCCTGGACAACCGGGACGAGCTGCTGCTGGACACGGCCCAGCACCTGGAGACGCGGCTCACCTTAGTCGGTAACAGGGACCGTGGGGTGGGGGGTCTGCAGCCCACGGGTTGAGCCGTTGCTGGGCCTGAGTGGGGGGCTTCCTGGGGGCCCTCTGGGAAGGTGGTGCAGGGGGTTCTGACAGCCCCCAGCCCTGGGCTGCATGCTGCTTCCTGAGGGTACCCCAAGATGCAGCCGGCAGGGAGCGGGGATACCCTCTGATCCAGCACATCCTGGCAGGCCAGCAAGAGGGTCCCAGTGGGGAGCGAGGGTCTCAGCCCCACTTCCGGCACTCAGTGTGCCATGTCACCAGGGCCCAGGAAGGAGGGAGGTGGACACCGCCAGCGAGGATCCGCAGGAACCCCCGGAGCAGGGAAGGGCTCAGAGAAACCTGGCAGTGCTGCTGCGCACTGGGCAGCCCCTCCCTGACACCCCCGGGGCTCCAGGCCCCTCGTGGATGGGGGTTGTGAGCTGTGGCATCTCCCCTCCAGGGGCCACGGGGATCGAGGACCGCCTGCAGGAGGGCGTCCCCGACACCATCTCGGCTCTGCGGGAGGCGGGCATCCGGCTCTGGGTGCTGACAGGAGACAAGCAGGAGACGGCCGTCAACGTGGCCCATGCCTGCCGGCTGCTGGACCCAGGGGACACGGTCTACTCCATCAGCACCGAGAGCCAGGTCAGGGGCACGCGCGCGGACTCTCTCTCTCTCTCTCTAATTCCTCCTCCTCTTGCTCACTTCTTTCCCCCTTTCCCTCTTTCGCCTTCCCTCTCCTCCTCCTCCCCTCCCCCCTTCCTTTGCTCCCCCTCTAACCCCTCCTCATTCTTCTTTCTGCTCAGTCTCCAGCTCCAGCTCCTTCTTATCCTTTCTTCCTCCTGCAGCTTCTTCTCTTCTTCCTCTTCGTCGTCGTCCTCCTCCTCTTTCTCCCCAAGCCCCCTTTCCCTCAACTCCTCCTCCTCCTCCTCCTCCTCCTCTCTTCCTCCTGCTTCCACTCTTCCTTTTCCTCCTCCACCTCCTTTTCCTCCTCCTCCTTCTACTTTCCCCACTTCTTTCCTACTTCCGCTTCCCCTCTCTTCCTGCACTTCCTCCTCCCTCTCTCTGCTCGGTTCCTTATTCTCCTGCCCCTTTCTCCTCTTTCTCCTTCTACTTCTCAGTTCCTTCACCTCCTCCTTTTCACTTCTTCCTCATACTCTAGTTCCTAGTTCGTAATCCTCCTCTTCCTCCTTCCCCTGCCCCGCTTCCTCTTTCACCTCCACCTTTCCTCCTCTCCTTCCCCCTCCCTACCGCTCCCTTTTAGAATGCTCCTCCACCATCTCCTCATCCTCCCTCTCTCCCATTCCCCAAGTCCCTTTCTTCTATTATCCTAATCCTTCTCCTCCTCCTCTTCATCTGAATCTAAGAATAATCCTCTTCCTCTCCTCCAGATTTTCTTCCTCCTCATTCTCCTCCACATTCTTGTCCTTCCTCTTCATTCTTTCTCCCCAGTCTCTTCCTCTGCTTCTCTCTCTCTCTCTCTAGCTCCCCTCTCCTCCCTCTCAAAAAGAAAGAGCCTCCTTTGTCTTTCTGATCTTTCTCTGTCCCCTCCTCTTCTCCCATCTCCATCTCTAAAAAACTATGCACGCTGAAGGTTGTGTGTTCACGGGCTCTCTGGACGGCTCTATCTCACCGCCCGTGTTCGGTGCCCTAGAGCCGCTGTGTGTGGCCTGGATCTTGGCCAAGGGCAGATGAAGGAAGAGATGAGGGCCAGGCCGGTTGATCTTTGTAGCAGTTTATTACAAGGAAGTTTATCCCATAGAAGAACTTTATGTTATGGAGGGCCTAGGTTCTCTCAAGCACACGTTCTCCTTGCTAATCTCCCGGTGGTCCATCTTTCAGCCCTGCTCTCTCATTCTCCAGCTCCCTCCTAGTCTGGGCTGACACTCCACCCAGTCAGGTAGCCAAATCAACATAAGGAAGCCCTTCCTGACTGCCCAAGGGCAAAATACCTCTTAAGGTTTTTTTTTCTCTTTTCCTCAACTATTCCTGTGGTTATGCAAGAAGGACAGAACAGTATTATCCTACACATCTCCTCCTTTCCTCATCTAGTTCCTCCACCTCCTCTTCACCCTCCTTCATCCCTGTTCCCTTCCTCCTCCGCCACTCCTTCCCCTTCCTCCTATTTTCTTGCTTCCCCCTCCCTTCCAACTGCCTTTCTTCCATTTTCCTCTTCTTCTTCCTCCTCATTCTCCTCCGCGTTCCTGTCCTTCACCTTCTCCTCCTCCGTTCCTTCCCCCCATTCTCCTCCTTGTTCTCTTTTCCCCACAGTTCCCCCTCTCCTTGCTCTTATCTAGATCCTCCTCCTCCATCTCCCCCCCCCCGCCGCCATTCTTCCCCTCCTCTTCCCCATCTCCACCTCCTCCTCCTTTCCCTCCTCTAGCTCCTCCCCATCTCCTCCTTGCCCTCTTTCTCCTCTTCACCCACATTCTTCCCCCTTCTCTTCTTCCTCCTCCCCATCCCCTCCTGCTCCCTTTCTTGTATTCTCCTCCTCCTCCTCCTCCATCTACATCCCCAAATCCTCCTCCTGCTCCTCATTTTCCTGCACTTTGTCCTCCTTCTCTTCCTCCTCCTTAGCTCTCCCTCTCCATTGCAGACCGGCCTCCACCTGATCCCTCCGTCTCCACCACCATCTGCATTTCCACATCTGGCTTCTCTTCTGTCTTCTCCTTCCCGTCCCCTCCCACTCCCTTTCCTCTGTTCCCCTCATCGTCTCCATCTCTGATCACCCCCCTCCTTCCTCTCTTTCCATCTTTCCTCTCCTTCCTCCTCCTGCTCCTCATTCTCCTCCACGTTCTTGTCCTTTACCCTCCCTCTATTCTACACCCCCAAGTCTCCGGTCCGCCTCTGGTTCTCCTTCTACACCCGGTTCCCCTCAAGATCTTCCTTCTTCGTCTCTCTCCCTGTTCTCCTTCCCCTCCTCTTCTCCCATTTCCACCTCCTCCTTTTCCTCATCTCTCTCCTCCACCTTCTCTTTAGCCTCTGTCTTCTCCCTCTCTCCCTCACCCTCCTTCCCCATCCCTCCTTTTCCCTGTATTCTCTTCCTCCTCCTCCTCCTCTCTTATTCATCCAGATCTCCAAATCCTACCACCTGTCTTCTGTTCTCCTACTTCTCTTCTTCACTCAAAAATATCCTCTCCTTAAAATCTGCCTCTTCCTCCTCCTGTTCCTCATTCTTCTCCACTTTCTTGTCTCTTCCTCCATTCTTTCACCGCACTCTTATCATCCTCGTCCTTTTCTTCTCTTTTCCCTCGTTCCCTCCCCTTCCTCTTTCTGCTCTCCATCCTCCTTCATCTTTCTCCTTGATCTCCTCTTCCCATCCCCCACCTCCTCCTCTACTTCTTCCCCATCCCTCCTTTTCACCTACATTTCCCAAATCATCCTCCTTCTCTCACCTCCTTTCTATTCTCCTTCTCTTCCCCATCTACATCTCCACGTCCTCCCCCTCCTTCACTTTCTTGTCCTTCACAGTTGATTCTCCATTGTTCCCCATCTCCTCATCATCACCCTCCTCCTTCCTCATCCTCTATTCTGTTTCTTCAATTCTCCTCTTTCTTCTCCTTCTCTTTTTCATCTACCCTGCAAATCATCCTCCCCTTCTCTTCTTTTAGTTCTCTTTCTCCTCCTCCTCCTCACCGTTCCCTTCCACTTTCTTCTTCCCCTTCTCTTTCTCCATTCCTTCTCCCAGTCTCCTCATTCTCCTCTTTACCTGCATCTCCAAATCCTCCTCCTCCTCTCCTTCCAAGTTTCCTCATATTTCTGCTTATTCTCCTTCACATTCTCCTTCACCTTCTCCTCCTCCATTCTTTCTCCCCCTTCTCTTCCTCCTGTTTTCCTTCTCCCCCTAGCTCCCATCCTTCCTCTTGCTAATCTGCTAATCTCTTCCTCCTCCATGTCTCTCCTCATTCTCCTTCCCCTCCCTCCCACCTCCTCCACCTTCTCCTTTCAGCTCCTTTCTCCCCCTTCCCTCCCCTTCTCTACATCTCCAAAACCTCCTCCTCCTTCTCTTCTTCAAATTTTCTCTTCCCCCTCCCCTCCGGATACTCCTCACTCTCCTCACCTTTCCTGTCCTTCACCTTCTCCATGCTTTCCCCCAGTCAACTCTGCTCCTCCTCTCTCATCCTCACCACCTCCCCCTTTCCTCATCTGGCTCCTCCTCCTTCTCCTCTTTCTATTCTCCTCATGCTTCTCCTCTTCTCTTCTTCATCCATGTCTCCAAATCATCCTCCATCTATGTTCCTTCAAATTTTTCCTCTTCATACTCCTCGTTCTCTTCCATTCTTTTTCCCCAGTCCCTTCCTCCTCCTCTTCTCCTCACCCCCCCCCATTTCTCTCTCGCTCCTCATCTCCCATCTCCATGCCCTCCTCCTCACCCACCTTCTTTTCGGTCTGTCTCGTCCTCCCTTCTCATGTTCTCGTCCATCTCTTCTCCTTCCCTTCTCCATGGCATCTCCAAATCATCCTCCCTCCTTCAGATTTTTCCCTTCATTCTCTTCCTCCTCCTATGCCACCTTTTCCTCCATGTCCTTGTCCTTCCCCTTCCCTTCCTCCATTTTCTCCCCAGTCTCCTCCTCCTCTTCTAGTTCTCCTTCCTCTCCTTCTCTCCATCTCTGCCTCCTCCCACTGAGTCTCTTGTATTCTCTTCTCATTCTTAACCTCTTTCTTCTCCATCTCTATCTCCAACTCATCCCCTACTCCTCCCCTTCAAATTTTCCTCCTCCTCCTGTTCCTCATTCTTTCCCCCCTTTCTTGTCCTTTACCTCCTCCTCCATTCTTTCTCGCCAGTCTCCACCTCTTTGCCTTCCTCTTTCTCCTCAGACTCCTTCCTCTCCTCTTCCCCCATCTCCCCTCCTATCCTGTTTCTTCTCCTTCCCCATCCCTCCTCCTACCTTTCCTATTTCTCTCTGTCCTTCCCTTCCCCTCCTGCTGCCTGTCTCCCAGCCTGCTCCTCCTTCTCTCCTCCTCCTCTCCTTCATTCCAAATCATCCACATCCTCCTCTCCGCAGATTTTCCTCCTGTTCCCATTTCTTTCTCCTCCACTTTCTTCTCCTTCACATTCTCTCCCTCCATTATTTCACCCCGGTCTCCTCCTCATCCTCTTCTTTTCTTCATCTCCACCTCCTCCTTCTCCCCTTCCTTCACTTTCTTGTCCTTTAGTTCGTCCTCCATTGTTCCCCATCTCCTCATCATCACACTCCTCCTTCCTCATCCTCTCCTACTCCATTTTTTCAATTCTCCTCTTCCTTCTGTTCCTTCTCTTTTTCATTTACTTCTGAAAATCATCCTCCCCTTCTCTCCTCTTCTAAGTTTTCCTCTTCCTTCTCTTCCTCATTGTTCCCCTCCACTTTCTTCTTCGCCTTCTCTTCCTCCATTCCTTTCCCCAGTCTCCTCCTCATTCTCCTCTTTACCTGCATCTCCAAATCCTCCTCCCCTTCCAAGTTTCCTCATATTTCTGCTTATTCTCCTTCAACTTCTCCTCCTCCATTCTTTCTCCCCCTCCTCTTCCTCCTGTTTTCCTTCTCCTCCTAGCTCCTGTCCTAACTCTTGCTAATTTGCTAATCTTCATCTCTCTTGCTCTCCTTCCTCTCTTCTCCCACCTCCTCCACCTCCTCCTCCTTTCTCTCCCTTCCCCTCCTCCTTCCCACTTCTTCACCTTCCTCTACATCTCCAAAACCTCCTCCTCCTTCTCTCCTTCAAAGTTTCTCTTCCTCCTCCCCTCCTGTTGCTCCTCATTCTCCTCCACTTTCTCATCCTTCACCTTCTCCATGTTTTCCCACCCGTCACCTCCGCTCCTTCCCCTAGTTCTCCTTCCTCTCCCATCCTCACCACCTCCTCTTCCTCATCTGGCTCCTCCACCTTCTCCTCTTTCTTCTATTCTCCTCATGCTTCGCCTCTTCTTCATCCATGTCTCCAAATCATCTTCCATCTCAGCTCCTTCAAATTTTTCTCTTCATACTCCTCATTCTCCTCCGTTCTTTCTCCCAAGCTCCTCTTCCTGCTCTAGGTCCCCCTCCATCATCTTCTTCCTTCCCCTCCTCATCTCCCACCTCCATCCTCTCCTCCTCACCCATCTTCTTTCTATTCTGTCTCTTCTTCCCTTCTCGTATTCTCATCCATCTTTTCTACTCCCTTCTCCATGTGCATCTCCAAATCATCCTTCTCTCTCCTGCATATTTTCTTCTTCCTCCTCTTCCTCCTCCCCACCTTCTCCTCCATGTCCTTGCCCTTCTCCTTCCCTTCCTCCATTTTTCTCCCCAGTCTCCTCTTCCTCCTCTTCTCCTAGTTCCCCTTCCTCTCCTCTCCATCTCCACCTCCTCCCACCCCTTGTCCTCTTCCATTCACATCCCCTCCCGCTGAGTCTCTTGTACTCTCTTCTCATCCTTATCCTCTTCTCTTTTTCATCTCTATCTCCAACTCATCGCCTTCTCCTGCCAGATGTTCCTCCTCCTCCTGTTCCTCCTTCTCCTCCCCTTTCTTGTCCTCTACCTCCTCCTCCATTCATTCTTCCCAGTCTCCACCTCTTCACCTTCCTCTTTCTCCTTGATTTCTCCCATCTCCGCTCTTGTCCTGTTTCTGTTCTGCTCCTGTCCTGTTTCTCCTCCCTCATCCCCCCTCCTACCTTTTCTGTTTCTCTCAGTCCTTCCCTTCCCCTCCTGCTGCCTCTCTCCCAGTCTGCTCCCCCTCCCCTCCTTCACTCCAAATCACCCACCTCCTCCTCTCCTTCACCTTCTCTCCCTCCATTCTTTCACCCCCGTCGCCTCCTCATCCTCTTCTCTTCTTCCTCTACATCTCCAAACATCCTCTTCCTCCTGCTGCTTATTCCCTGCCACTTTCTTCTGCTTCACCTTCTCCTCCTCCTCCATCCTCTCTCCCAGTATCCTTCTCATCTTCTCCACCTCCTTCACCTCCTCCCCATTTTCTTCTTCCTACATTCCCTTCCCCCACTGGCTCGTCCTCTTATCCTCCTCTTCATCTTGATCCTTCTCCATATCTCCTTTTCCTCCTCTCCTCCCAGTGCCTCTCTGCTTCCTTTCACATCCATTCCTCTTCTTCCTCTATTTTTCCTCTCCTCCTCCTTCTCTTCCTACTTCCCTCTTCTTCCATAGCCCCACCTCCTCCTTCTCCATCTCACCTTCCACTGCTCCTTCTCCTGTCCCTTCCTCTCCATCGCCTCGTCCTTCTCCTGCGTTTTCTCCTTCTTTTACTTCTCATGCTTCTCCACGTTCTCATCATTGTCTTCCTCCTCTTTCCTCTTCTCCTAGTCATCTCCCTCCTCTAACTTCTCGTTCTCTTGTTCTTTCCCCTCTTGCCTCCTTTTCCTCTGCCTTCTCTTGCATCTCATTCTCTTCCTCCCCATCCCTGTTCCCCTCCTAATCTCCCTCTTCCACTTCATCCTGTCGCACGTCCCCTCATTCTGCTCCTCCTTGTCTTCTCTCCTCCCTTCCTTCCCATTCACCTCACCTCCTCCTAGTCTCTATCCTCCCTTCCCCTGCTGCTGGATGGTCCCCGTGCGGTCACACCCTCCTCCCCTCTCCGTGATGCTCACAGCGGCGAGAGTAGCATCAGGGCTGCAGACTCAGGACTCACATCGGATTTGTCTCTTTAATAAAATGAAAAGTACAGGAGCAGAATGGATGGATGCGGGACGTGGGGGGGGGGGGCTGGAGCAATAGCACCGTGGGTAGGGCGTTTGCCTTGCATGCAGCTGACCCAGGTTTGATTCCCAGCATCCCATAGGGTCCCCCGAGCACCGCCAGGATTAGTTTCTGAGTGTAGAGCCAGGACACTGGGTGTGAAAAAAAAAATGAATGATGGAGAGGGAGTTGGCTGCTGTTTCCAGGGAAACCATAATGACCCCAACATACGTTTCCCTCTGTGCGTCTGTGGTCAGCAAGCAAGCAGCTCAGTCCTTATTCTCCCTCTGAGCTGGGTGGGCTGAAAAGTGTTTCCTCACCTCTGGGGGCACGACCTCCCCACCACCCAAATGCCTTCCACACAGGAGGGCCTGATGGATGGAATGACCAAATATCCAACCCCAGACTGTCCCACCCCCATCACTGCTGTGGGAAAACACAGGGCCCCAGGCCAGGGGGGACTGACCGGGCCACTGGGGCCACCCCGACCTCCCTCCGGCAGGTGACCTGCGCGTCCCTCCTGGACTGTGCCCTGGAAGACATGAGGCAGCGCCAGGGAGGGCGGAAGCTGACGGCGCGGCCCGAGGTGGGGCTGGTGGTGGACGGGCGCACGCTGCAGGCTGTGGTCCAGGGGCAGCTGGAAGAGAAGTTCCTGGAGCTGGCCGGGAGCTGCCGTGCTGTGCTCTGCTGCCGGGCCACGCCGCTGCAGAAGACCACCGTGGTGCGCCTGGTCCGGGAGCGACTGCGCGCCATGACCCTGTCGGTAGGTGCGTGTCCGGCTGCGCCCGCCCCTGTCTGGGCACAGAGGGAACGGCTGCCACGTGGGTCTAGCAGGAAGAGGACACGCTGTCCGGAGGGCCACACCACAGGCTCCACTGAGCCCTGACGCCCTCACTCCTCATGCCTGTAACAAGCTGCAAGCCACCTGCACCTGGGGTCCATCCGCAGACAGCTGGGGGTCTCTTCCCACCGCAGAAACGGGAGAGTTTATCCTTCCTCCCTGGTTGATCAGATGTTTGTCTTTCCTTGATCTTCAAAAGAAAGACAGCTTTGCAGGGGGGCTTGGGGAGGGAGAGATTGCAGGGAGCAGACCTTCAGCAACCGCACACACCCTGCTTTCATTCCTTGGGTGTGCAGCTTATGACACACACACACACACACACAAAGCAACAACCCCAGGGGCTGGAGTGATAGTACAATGGGTAGGGTGTGTGCCTTGCATGCAGACAACCCAGGTTTGATTCCCAGCATCACATATGGTCCCTTGAGCACTGCCAGGAGTCATTCCTGATTGCAGAGCCAGGAATAACCCCTGTGCCTGTGCATGGCTGGGTGTGACCCAAAAAGGAAAAAAAAAAAAGGCAACAGCTCAGAAGGAAAGGGCTGGTGGGCTTCACTGCCCCAGTAGCAGAAACAAAGCCAGCAGGAAAAATGCGCATGCGCACGCACACACACACACACACCCTCTCCTTCCACGTCTTTGCAAACAGAGCTTAGTGGGCACATCCCCTGCTGCGAGGAAGATTAAAATGAGGCACTACAGTGCCCAAAGACGGAGGGGGTGGAAATACTCATTGCAGGACTAATGGCTACTTAGGACTAAAGGGTTAAGATCAATAACTTTTGTTGCCAAACCATTAAAGGGGAGAAAACTCTCTCCTGCCAGTTTCATATTCTCCGAGATGGCTAATACGAGTTTAATTGCGGACCCTTTACGAGAGCCGGCTGTCCAGCCTTACCCAGTGGGTGTAGGGGAGGGATTTCCTTTTTCCGTTCGTTTCTGAATGTATAGTTCAAGCCCCTTCTCCTGTCAGCAAGAAGAGTCCTCCAGCCCTGCTTCTTGGCCTGCACAGTCTCCGATATTGACTCTGGGACCCTTTCAGCAGCTTGCTCAGCTTCAGGCCGCATTGTGGGCATGAGGGGGTGTGGTGGGAGGGGTCTCTTTGGGCTGAGAATGAGCCCCCTGCAATCCCCCGTTCAGTAAGGAAAGAGGGCGCTTCGGGTCACCGGGCAGCAGAGGGACAGCACACTCACCTCCCGCTTCCTGGAACAACTGGTTCCTCGGAGGCGAGCTCGAGTCCAGGTGTACCTCAGTCACACCCACTGTGCCCTGGCCACCTCTGATGTCCGTGTCCAGGTGTGCCCGCGAGCTCAGAGCAAAGGCACGTCTGTCTTTCGGGACCCCAGGGGGTGTACTGGCTGAGCCTCCCAAGCAACCCCACAATCTGTACCCCCTCCCCACCGCCCGACCCCTCCACACGTGTGATGGCGTTTCGTGTGAACGATAGAGTCCCACCTGAGGTGCTGTCCCCACCTGGGGGTGGCATCCCTCACACTGCATGGCGAGCGGGAGCCCGGGTACGAGCTGGCTGAGAGAGGAGTGTCCTACCCCGAGGGGGCGCCCAGTCGAAAGCCTGGCAGGGGCAGTGTGGAAGACACCCCCCCCATGTCTGCTCCTCCTGCAGGCGACGGAGCCAATGACGTGAGCATGATCCAGGCGGCGGATGTGGGCGTGGGGCTCTCGGGTCAGGAGGGCATGCAGGTACGGCACCAAACCAAACGGGCCTTGGAACCTGAGGGCCTGGGGAGGAGGACGGGGTGGGAGAGTTAGACCCTGAGGGTGGTCTTGAGCAGGAAGCTTACCACCTGGGGGGAGGGGCACGGCGAGGGGAAGGGGTCAGCAGGGAGCAGGAGGCAAAGGGGGCTTTGGGGGAGAGACTTCAGTGAGGGGGGCAGTGTTGCAACATTGTATCTAGATGACGCAGGAGAGAGAGGAGAGAGAGAGAGAGAGGAAAGAGGAGAAAGGAGAGAGGAGAAAGGAGAGGAGAAAGAGTGGAGAAAGAAGAGAGGAGTGAGGGAAGAGAGAAAGGAGAAAGGACAGGAGAGAGGAGAGAGAGATGGAAGAGAGAAGAGAGACGTAGGGGAAGTCAGACTCCAGCTCTCCCTCCCAGCCTGGCCCCCACCCCCTGGCGGGCTGGGATGTCCTTCCCTGGACGCCCCCCCAGGGTGGTCCCGGCCCCCACGCTGCCGCCTTGGCTGTCTCCCGCAGGCCGTCATGTCCAGCGACTTCGCCATCTCCCGCTTCTGCCACCTGAAGAAGCTGCTGCTGGTCCACGGGCACTGGTGCTACTCGCGCCTGGCCCGCATGGTGCTGTTCTACCTGTACAAGAACGTGGTGAGCAGCGCCAGACGTGGGCCGCGGGGCGGGGGCGAGGGCTCGGCGCCCCCCCATCTCGACTCCGTTGGAGGGGCCCGGGGTCAGCATTCCTGGCCCAGGGTGGCTCTAAAAGCTGGAATCAGAGTGGCTGGCCCCAAGCAATCGGCCTTTGCTTTCATATCACTGCTGCTACTGCCCCATTATTTTTTTTTGTTTGGCGTTTTGGGTCACACCCGGTGATGCACAGGGGTTCCTCCTGGCTCTGCACTCAGGAATGACCCCTGGCAGTGCTCAGGGGACCATATGAGATGCCAGGGATCGAACCCAGGATAGCTGCATGCCTTCTCCACTGTGCTCTCGCTCCCACCCCTGCCCCCTTACTCTAAGAATCCACAAATGCTGTATCTTCCAGCTACCAGCAAGATCTGTCTCTCCTGGCCCAGGTGTGGGCAAGGGAGTGGCTGTTCACAGGTCAAAAATGGCAAGACGGTGCTCAGAGAGGCTGAGCCATTTGTCTAAGGTCACAGAGCTAGGAAGTGGCAAACAATGAAGGTTCCAGGGGACCCCGGAGAGATAGTTCAACAGGTACAGGACTTGCCTCGCATGCAGCCGACCAGGATTTGATCCTGAATATCGTAGGGTCCCCCTAGCACAGCCAGGAGTGATTCCTAAGTTGCGGAGCCCCTGAGTATTGCAAGGTATGGGGAAGAGAGAGAGAGAGAGAGAGACAGAGACAGAGACAGAGACAGAGAAATAGGGGGGAAATGGAAAAGAATTGAGGTTCAGGGCTGGAGCGGTAGCACAGCATGGAGGGTGTTTGCCTTGCACACGGCTGACCCAGGTTCGATCCCCGGAATCCCATATGGTCCCCCAAGCATCACCAGGAGTAATTCCTGAATACAGAGCCAGGAGTAACCCCTGAGCATCGCCAGGTATGACCCAAAAAGCAAAAAAAAAAAAAAAAGAGGTTGAAGGTCAGAGCCCCTCGCCCTGCCTCAGGGTGGCTTGCCTCAGCCCCCGACGCACCCGCTCACAGCCGCCTCCACCCACAGAGCTACGTCAACCTGCTCTTCTGGTACCAGTTCTTCTGTGGCTTCTCGGGGGCCACCATGATCGACTACTGGCAGATGATCTTCTTCAACCTCTTCTTCACCTCCCTGCCGCCCCTCCTCTTCGGCGTCCTCGACAAGGACGTGTCGGCGGCCACGCTGCTGGCCGTGCCCGCTCTGTACAAGAGTGGCCAGGACTCAGAGGTGAGGCCCTGCTCTGCCCTGCGCCCTGCATGGGGTCCTGGGGGTCCCTCCGCCTGGTGACCCCCACACCCCCACCCAGTCACTTAGTCTGAGCCCAGACATTCTGCTCTGGGCAGGGGGTGTTTGATGCCACACCTGTAAGGACTGAAGGGTGATGGGGGGTTCTCTAGGTCTTCAACAGAACCCCAGGGGGCTGGAGCAATAGCACAATGGAGAGGGCGTTTGTCCTGCACGCGGCCGACCTGGGTTCGATTCCCAGCATCCCATAGGATCCCCAAGCACTGCCAGGAGTGATTCCTGAGTGCAGAGCCAGGAGTAATTACCCCTGGGTGTGACCCAACAAGCAAAAAAAAAAGGGGGGGGGAATCTCAGGGTCCAGGTCATTGGGAGGAAGGAGCCACACCTGGCAGTGCTCAGGGATCACTCCTGGGAGGGGATCCGGAGACCCCATGGGGTGCCGGGGATGCAACCCGGCTTGGCCACGTGCAAGGCCAGTGCCCTCCCAGCTATACTATTTCTCTCCTTTTCTTGTTTTTTTTTTTTTTGCTTTGATTTTGCTTTACCCACTTTAGAGGGTCCCCAGGCCAGGGAGTGGCTTTCACGCCTCCCCCCCCTCAGCAGGGCCTCCCTAGGGGTCTCCCCTCGCCCCAGCTCCCTGCTCTCGGCCGCTGGGTCGTGTGGCCCAGGGCACGGAGCTGAGGGGCGACAGCTGTTGTGGCCTCTCCTGGCAGTGCTACAATCTGCGGACCTTCGGGCTGTCCATGGCGGACGCCTTCTACCAGAGCCTCGTCTGCTTCTTCATCCCGTACCTGGTGAGTCCTCCCCACAGGGAGCAACTGTGTTCCTGTTTCTGGGCAGCCCAGGGGCCCTGCCCATGACACCCCTGCCCGTGGCTGGGAAAGGGCTGGGTGTCTGGGGGGTGCCCTGAGGCGGGCTGGGGTGGGGCGGCATCTTCCCATGGTGCTGCCCACAGCCCCACTCGCTTGGACGGGGCACAGGCTGCATCTGATCCCCGGCCTGCCCGCTAAGACCCGGTGACCAGTGAGCACGGCTAGTGCAGGATGCCAGCCTTGTCCCGGGAACACAGCAGGTGGACGGCAGGGGCTGGCCGAGGGAGAGGACGGGGCGAGGGCATGTGCCTGGCGTGCTGATGCCCCTGGTTCGATGCCTGGCACTAGCAGACCAGGCACAGTGGCATCACGTGAATCCCAGGGAGGGCTTCCGGGCATCCTCAGCACCCGGCGGCGGGGGGCGCGGGGGGGGGGCAGACAGAGCCAAAGTGGTGGTGGGCAGTGTCATGAGCTTATCACTGTCCCCGTCTATGGTCTCAGCTCCTCCATCATCCCCACCTGGCTGCGCTTGCCCCCCTGACCCACCTCTGGCCCTTCCTGGCACCAGGCAGGGTTGAAGAGGCACACCCCTGGCCATTGGCACGGCACCTGGCATGCACCCAGTGATGCCTCTGTCCTCTTAGCCCCTCCCCATGCTCTGCACAGCCACTGTGGGCCTCACTCCTCACTCAGACACACCCTCCCCACCGGACCCCCATAGAATCACTCACTCAGCGGGGCGGGGAGCTCCCGGGCGCCCCTGACGGGGCCCACTGACTCCCTCGCAGACCTACCGGGACTCGGACATAGACGTCTTCACCTTCGGGATGCCCATCAACACCATCTCCCTCACCACCATCCTCCTGCACCAGGCCATGGAAATGAGGACCTGGGTGAGTGAGGGGACTTGGCCACCGACGCCCCCGTCTACACACCTCAGGGCCCGCCCCCCCATCCCGGTGGGCAGTTAGCACAAGAGGAGGACTGACCGTACCTGCCCACACCGTGGGAGGACTCCCCGAGACACTCCCCATTTCCTGTCCCCATGAGAGATGCAGGAGCGGCTGTGGGTCAGTGCATCCCAGAGCCTGTTCACGTTTCACAGTTCCGTAGCTAAAATGGCGACAGGTAAGGCACTCGCCTTGCAGGCCGTGACCTCTGGCACCCCATAGGGTCCCCCACGCACTGCTGGGTCTGGCCCAAAGATAAGAACAAAAGTCAACACCAGCTTTTTTTTTTTCTTTTTAGGTCACACCCAGCGATGCTCAGGGGTTACTCCTGGCTCGTGCGTTCAGGAATTACTCCTGGCGGTGCTTGGGGGACCCTATGGGATGCTAGGAATCGAACCCGGGTTGGCCGCGTGCAAGGCAAATGCCCTCCCCTCTGTGCTATCACTCCCGCCCCAAGAATTAGAATTTTTAAGATACATTAACTAGAAGTACCAATGCCTCAACAGCAAATTAGAACAGAACTCATCCAGTACATTGATCAAGAATAGAGAACCAGGGGAAACTGAAAATTATGCAAGAGGCCATTCAACTACATGGAACGTCTTATCTAAAAGGGGGTAACATTTTATTTGACCAGTGTCTCACAGAGAAGAGAGAAGAAAGAGGCATAGACAGTATCTGGAAGGACAGGAATTTAAAAATTTTGCAGACTGGTCCTGACAGGCTGAGTTTTGTAGGCTTAGGCCACACCTGAAGGTGTTGGGGAGTGACCCCTGGTGGTCAGCAGTTGGGGGGGGGCATCACTGGTGCTGGGGACAGACAGCATGTGAGGTGAGCAACTTCCTAATCCCTGGACTCTCTCTCCGGCCCCCAGAGGCCTTGTCCACTGTGCGTCCTACTGGGACCCCACACTGGGTTTTTGATCTTTAGTGTGGGGAGAGGGTACATGTCCGGTGGTGATTGGGGACCCCACCCAGGGCCTTGCTCGGGCCAAGCCCTACTCCTCTCCCTGAGCCACACTGCTGGCCCTTGGTGGGGAGGGGTGAGTTTTGAACCCTGGGCTCTGTTAGGGGTTCACTGTAGGCAGGCTGGGGAGGAGGGGGTCTCAGACAGCCTCCAGAAAACCCAAGTGAGGAAAGACACCACCCCATGGATGAGGGGAGGTTAGCTTGACATAAGCAAGCTAAAGAAAATGAAATGCATGCCGGGGGCTGGAGCCATAGCACAGCAGGTAGGGCATTTGCCTTGCATGTGGCTGACCCGGGTTCAATTCCCAGCATCCCATAGGATCCCCTGAGCACCACCAGGGGTAATTCCTGAATGCAGATCCAGGAGTGACCCTGTGCATCGCTGGGTGTGACCCAAAAAGCAATAAAAAAAAAAAAAGAAGAAGAAAATGAAACGCACGCCCATCAGACCATAAGGGAACCAAAATGAAGTGGGGAAAAAAATTCAAAAAAGCAACCTGACTTCTCAGACATGGGCCAGAGGCCAGTGAAATGCTCTGTTAAATACTCTGAAAGGTCAGGAGAGAGAGAGAACAGCGGGGAGGGCGTTTGCCCGGCATGCCGCTGACCTGGGTTCAATCCCTGGCACCCTGTATGGCCTCCCAAACCCCCCCTGGAGGGGGTCCCTGAGTGCAGCGCCAGGAGGAAGCCCTGAGCACCGCCCCTGGGTGTGTCCTGTGGGCGGCAGAAACCCTGGGTGTTTGCAGATGACTCACACCCACTCTTCTTCCTGCAGACCCTTCTCCACGGGCTGGTCCTGGCGGGCAGCTTCCTGATGTACTTCGTCGTGACCCTCGTGTACCATGCCACCTGCGTCACCTGCAACAGCCCCACCAACCCCTACAGGGTGATGGAAGGCCAGCTGGCGGACCCCACCTTCTACCTCGTCTGCCTCCTCACACCTGTGGCCGCTCTCCTCCCCAGGTTGAAGAGCCCCCCTCCCCGACACACACACCTGCCCTCCCCACCTGCCCTTCCTCTCCTGGGAGGCTCTACCGTCGTAGCGGGGATGGAGGGATGCGCCCCCCAAAACCAAGCCAAAAGGCACGGGGAGAGATGCCGGCATGTAACAGGGTCCTGGGGTCTGTGGGGGGACAGGGGCAGGAGATCCCAGACACCACAGCCACCCCCAGGGCTCAGCAAACACCGCCCCGAGCCTCTCAGAGAAGGGGCCATAACCACCCGTCCGGTGCTGTCCGCCAGGTACTTCATCCTGTCTCTGCAAGGAACGTACGGGAGTTCGCTCATCTCTCAGGCCCAGAGACTCGAGCGGCTGCCAGCGGGCAGGAGGAGGCAGCAGGCCCAGCATGGGAGGAGTGGACAGTGGTCGAGTCAGACGCAGCCTCGCCAACAGCCAGCGCCCCCGGGCCCGGCACAGGACTCCAGAGCCAGCGCCCCTGATGGGCCCCCACCCGGGGACACTCCCATCCGGGACCGGGGAACGGATTCGCTGGGCTCTGTAGACCCCTTGGCCAGACTCTCCCCCAGGGAGCACCTTCTGGGTGTCAGCAGGGCGACAGGCTCCCAGGCAGATGGGGAGCAGCGGCCCTCGGCCAGGGGTGGCCATCGCCGGTCCCGGACTCAATGACCATATGAGGCAGGGACAGCTCAGGGGACACCCCAGGGATGGCCCTACTACTCCTGGAGTGGGAATGTGCTTGTGTAGACACCCCCTCCCCAAATGTGCGCGCACACACACACACACACCTGCACGCACCTCAGAAAGCAGAGCTGGGGGCTGGAGCGATAGCACAGCGGGTAGGGCATTTGCCTTGCACGCGGCTGACCCGGGTTCAGTCCCCAGCATCCCATATGGTCCCCGGAGCACCACTGGGAGTCACTCCTGAGTGCAAAGCCAGGAGTAACCCCTGTGCATCGCCGGGGGTGACTCAGAAAGCAAAAAAATAAAGCAGGGCCAGGAGTAACCCTCACCAGGTGTGTCTCCCCCAGAAAAGGCATTTGGAATAGCGATGAAATATTTAGTGGGGTGAACGCTGATGCTAAGAGAAGGCGTGGTGTGGGCAAGGACAAGCCTGTCTCGGGACTTCAGTTGGGGGGAGAGGGGGAGTGTGTGTGTGTGTGTGTGTGTGTGTGTGTGTGTGTGTGTGTAGGGGTGGAAACCCACTTCCCAGGGGACTCTGAAGAGGCCCATCCTGTGACCAGCCACTGACAGAGTTACTGCTCAACCAGGGCAATTCTTGCTCTGGCTCACGTTCTTCTTTTCTCTTTTCTTTTCTTTTCTTTTCTCTCCCTCTTTCTCTCTCTCCCCCCTCTTTCTCCCCATCTCTCCCCCTCCCCCAGCTTTTGTCCTTTTACTCTCTCTCTTTCTCTTTCTTTCTCTCTCTCTTTCTTTCTTTCTCTCTCTCTCTCTTTATTTTTCTCTCTCTCTCTCTCCTGCTTCTCCCCTCTGTCTCTCTCCTCCCCAGCACTGCAGGAGGAGGAACAGACAAGGACATCAGGTCACATCAGGTGACTGTGGGACTCACCTCCAGGAGGAGGAGGAGTCAGAGTCCCCCTCTCGGGGATCTTCCAGCCCTAGGATTCCCACTCACTTCTAAAAGCCACCAGGGTGTTTCTGGAGTGACCAGAGCTATGGGGCGAAACTGGCGCCGGGAGTGGGGGGAGCTGTAGGAGTTGGGCCGGGTGGTGTTTTTGCTTTTGCCCCCGGGCCCTCTTAGCTGTGCTGGACGTGTCTTGGTTTCTGCACTGAATAGTCCTGCATCCTAAGGAATGCAGGGATGTGCCATGCCCGCCCCTTACCCCCTCTGTACACCAACTGTGAATTTGCCTGTGCCACCCTGGGGGCAAAGGTCATGGCCATGCGCCCCCTCGGGCATCAAGCTAATGATTGTGATTAATTAGTACCTTTTTATACCTCTGTGAGCTTCTACTGAAAGGAAATGTGTGTCCTCCTTTCTTTGTAGAAAAAAATAAACAAGACTTTTCCAGAGCTGCCTGCATTCCTCCATCCTCCTCTGTATCACGTATTCCATCACTTCCCTGGGAAGCTGCTGCCTATCCCTGGCCTCTGGGCCAGCACGGGGCCAGGCCTCAGCTCTCTTGTTTTTGCTTTGTTCCCTGCCAGTGTTCTGTGCTTGCCAATTGGCTCCCGCCGCTTGCTCTACAGACCAGTCTACCTTAGCCAGGGGCAGCAGCAAATTCAAGTCCAAGATGCCCAACCTCGGGGCCCCATTCCCTTCCGGTTTCATGAAGAGCGCTGGAATTTGGGGTAGAGGCGGAGTTTGCAGGTCTACACAATTTTTTTTTATTTTTGGGGTCATACCTGGCACTGCTCAGGGGCTACTCCTGACTCTGCACTCAGGTTTTACTCCTGACAGTGCTCAGGGTACTCTATGAGATGCCGGGGATTGAACCCGGGTCGGCCACATGCAAGGTAAACGCTCTCCCCACTGTGCTATCGCTCCGGCCCCCAACTCTCTACACAGTTTTTTTGGGCGGGGGGGAATCAAACTCGGCAATATTCAAGGGTTCCTCCTGGCTCTGCACTCAGGAATCACTCCTGGCAGTGCTCAGGAGAGCATATGGGATGCTGGGAATCGAACCCAGGTCGGCCGCACGCAAGGCAAACGCCCTACCGGCTGTGCTATCGCTCCAGCCCCTCTACACAGTTCTTATTGGAAGACGCTTCCTCTCCCATCTCTAAACTGACACGCGTGCACTCCGTTCACTTCCTGCCACAACTGGTGTATGTTATTCAAGCTAGCAGGAGGAAAGCTTGTGGGAAGGAAAGGGAGCCAGGAGCCAGGCTGGTCAGCAATGGGAAAGGGCCCTTGAGGGCACCAGTAATGTCCATGAGAAACTTGCTGAGTGGCTGAGTCGCAGAGCGCAAATGGAAGGTGGGCTGGGGACAGGCACAGGAAGGAAGTTGCAGAGCCAGAAGGGAATCCCTAAACCAAACGGGGCCAGGCTGAGGGTACGCTGACCCCAACCCCTGAAGTTCACACCCCAGCCAGGGGTCACTGCCATCTCGGACACCTTCATGTGTCTGGCTGAGCCATCTCCAAACACCACTTCCCCCCCTCAACCCCTCTCTCTCCTGGGACTCCGGTCACTTCAGCTGCTCAGGTCCCAGAACCCACGCCACCCCAGCACCCACGCCGCCCCGCTCCCTAAGTCACCATCCAGGAGGGCTTGGCTTAGCGGCAGGACCTGTGTCTGCATGAGTGTCCCCTCACAAAACCCTCACCCCTCTGCCTTGCTCCATGCCTCCTTCCTGTCCCCAAAGGCACAGGCAGGTGGTGGCCAGTCCAGACCCCCTCGGGCCGAGAGGTCTGCACATCTCCCCTGAGACTCGCCCCCCAGAGAAGGCCAGTCTCCCTCCCGCTCCCAGCCACTGTGCCAGCACTAAAAAATTACCTCTCGTGGGCCAGAGAGATCGACAGTACAGTGGGTAGGGCATTTGCCTTGCATGCAGCCAACCTGGGGTGGGTCCCTGGCATCACCTAGAGTCCCCTGGACCCTGCCCAGAGCCAGGAGTGAGCCTTGAGCGCTGCTGGGTGTGACCCAAAGGAGAAGCAGACAAAGGAATTATTCTCGGGCTGGAGAGAGGGATCAGTGCCCGGGCATGGCCCTTTACATGCTGGTAGATACCCAGGTTCCATCCCTGAGACAACACGGTGCCACCAAGCGCCACCCTCCCCCCGGGACTAGCCCCAAGCACAGACCCAGCCGCTGACCCAGCACTGCCGGCTGCGTTCTAACCCCACAGGAAATAAACCAGCTGTTCACACGTTCTCGAACATTCCCGGGTGGAGGGTGCCAATGGGGAGGTGGGGGCCCACAGCAGGACACAGACACCCCAAGCTTGAATTCCCTGGTACTATGATGCACCATCACATTTCTGAGGGGATGCACATGTAAGCAAACAGGTTCAGAGAAGTCCGGTCAGCTCCCCAAGGCCACAGGGCCCTACAATGCAGAACAGGGATTCCAACCCAGACCTGAGGCCAGGCTCCTGGGAATGGAGCCCTGGGGAAGGGGCACCAGCCAGGCTCTGACTACACAGCCCAAACAGCCCCCTCCCAACTCCCAAAGGCAAGTGTCTGCTGCCCAGGAGGCCTCCAGCAGGGGTGTGCTCAAGGGGGAGCCCAGTGTGAGCCCCTCGAGGGGGGAGCAAATGTACCCTGCCCTGCCTCTCTGGTTTTTTTTTTTCTTTTTGGGTCACACCGGAGATGCACAGGGATTACTCCTGGCTCATGCACTCAGGAATTATTCCTGGTGGTGTTCAGGGGATCCTATGGGATGCTGGGGATCGAACCCAGGTCGGCCACGTGCAAGGCAAACACCCTCCCTGCTGTGCTATCGCTCCAGCCCTCTCTGCTGATTTTTAATTAGAAGCTCCCCCTTAAAACCACTCCAGGCACGAGCACGCAGCAGGCTTGAGCCCATGAGCACACGCGGAGGCTCGAGTGGCCGTGCCCCCAGTGCCCAGCAGGGTGGCACCAGGGCAGCCAGCCTGCCCAGGAAGGAGAGAGATGCCGTCTGTGTGCCGGGCAGGAGGTTCAGAAGTTAACCTGTGGTTGAACAAGAAATGGAAGTGATGACTAACCCCGTGATGCCAGGTTCCTACACCCCACACTGTGTGTGTGTGTGTGTGTGTGTGTGTGTGTATGCGCACCCATGGGGGAATGGGGAGGGGCCAGGTGGGCACCTGCGTCTGCAGCACGTGAAGTGAACATTCCCGTCCCAGGACCTGGAAATCAAAGCCCTCAGTCCTGTGGGCGAGGGGGCCATGAACCCCCTTCTACCTCGTGCCACTTTCTGAGACTCTGACCACTCACTAAAACCTGTCCCGGGATGGCCCCTGACCATCACACCCACTAAGAGGAAATAAAGGCACATCCATCGCAAGCCCAGAAATACCCTCTCTGCGCCCTGGGGTTGGGGGGGAACAGCTGCCCCCCACCCACCCTACTCTGGTTCGAGCCAAGACTCTCGCATTCTGCACACAAAAGCCTCTGTCTGCCCCCTCCTCCCTGCTGGCCTGCACTGGAAATATGCACAGGCCAGCAGGGAAATTGTGTGTGTGTGTGTGTGTAAGTGGGGGGGGGGGGTATGTGTGCGTGGAAGTGTGTATGGGAGTGTGGGGGAGTGTGGGGGGTGTGTATGGGGGTGTGCATGTGTGTGGGAGTGTGCGAGTGTGTGGGAGTGTGCGTGCATGTGCGTGCGTGCGTGTGCGTGCATGAGTGCGGGTGGGAGTGTGCGGTGGGAATGGGGCTGTATTGTGGGAGTGTTGGGGGGAATGTGGGGGGTGTGCGAGTGTGTGTGCAAGTGTGAGGGAGGGAGTGTGAGGGAGGGAGTGTGTGTGTGTGAGGGACTGTGTGTGTGAGGGACTGTGTGTGGGGGGGAGTGTGTGTGGGGGGGAGTGTGTGGGGGGGGGAGTGTGTGGGGGGGGGAGTGTGTGGGGGGGGGGAGTGTGTGTGGGGGAGTGTGTGTGGGGGAGTGTGTGTGTGTGTGAGGGAGTGTGTGTGTGTGAGGGAGTGTGTGTGTGTGAGGGAGTGTGTGTGTGTGAGGGAGTGTGTGTGTGTGAGGGAGTGTGTGTGTGAGGGAGTGTGTGTGTGGGAGTAT